CTGATAACAAATCCTGCACTCCTCCATATTGGCCGATTATTTCACCTGCTGCCTCTATCCACAAAAATAATAATTAAAAGTAAAAGAAGTTAAAATTGAACTTTTCCAGCTGAGGCCAGATCTTAGAAGAAGGCAAAGTTAATTATGAGATGGACAGTTTTTCATGAGAATCTGAAGATTTGAATTTGATATCTCACAGGTTCAATGTCAATTCTTACTGCATCGTGAGATAATTTTCAGTTGATAGTTTGTTTTCTTACTCTGATTTTCACTAATTTCTATACTCAGCTTTAATTCTTGGAAATGAATGACCATCAGACACAGTTGGTTCCCCCAACTTACCCTCAGCTGACAGAGCCATAAGTAACTGACATCCACAAGACTGGAGCTCAGAGGAAGTTATGTGGGACTACCAGGCAGAGAAAAAAATTCAGCAAGAAACTGTCAATATGGAGGGTATGAAACAGGCACTGAATTAGGAATTCATTTGACACTCAGATTGAGGAACAATTTTAATTACATAACCCTCACAATAACTCACCTTCATTGCTGAAAGAACAGGGCGAATTATCTCCTCTGTGAACATGACATCATTATCATCAGCTGAAAAGCAAAAAAGATATTAAAAAAATCCTGTAGTAAAGCAACAAAATAAAAGACCACTTCTTTACAACTAACATGAAAAATCCTTTATTCTTTTTTTATGTTCCTTAACCCTTTACACCCAACATCACAATGCATATTCTCCATACTGTTTTCTATATTTCCTTAGGTGTTGACAAGGAGATATTTGTTTAAAAATCAAGAGTTCCTTTAATTGGTGATTGTTTCCTTTAATTGTGTGACCTTATTGCAAGAATCAGGGATGAAACTGAGAAGACAAATGAAGTGCTTGTCATTCCAAGGGGTCATAGGGTTAAAGCATGCAGATAAAATAAACTTTAGTAGCTTCATATTCTGCAGTTGTTCCTGCTAAATACAAACTCTTAAGAATCCAGGCAACAGAACTCTTGGTCAAAAATTGCAAGCAGTTTTCACCACGTCTCAGCCGTCTTTGTATGTGACCATACTTTCTATTTGAATTTTAATAAGCACCTTGCCACCTGCACTCTCACACATGCTCTCTAACCAGAAAGAAGGAAAGTTTACTGCAAAACAACTGCTACATCAAGCATGCTATAGCTTGATTAACATGTACTGGACATTCCTCCAAATCACAGAGGCATAAAATTCCAGCAGTGGGCCACTGTTCCACTTCATATAAACAAGTAATAATTCCTCACCATGTGGAAAAAGATTAATAAATATCTTCAAGGCTTGAAGGTGAACATCTTTGGATGGATCCTGTTTTTTGTTTTCATTTGTCATGGTTTCTGCAATTTGCTGCTTTGCTTTTTTGTTTAATGAAACATCTGCAATCAAGGCAAACATTCAAAATTCAAAACAAGACAAAACTATGCGGAACCTGCCTTACAAATATATAATATAATGTATAATATAATGTATAATATAATGTATAATATAATGTATAATATAAAGTATAACATATTATCTATCTATCTATATATATATATATATATATATATATATATATATATATATATATATAGGATATTAAGTATGAATACAAAAATGACTTAAATTGGCCACTCCCCTCCAATAAGCATATATTGGCCTCCTTCCATTTTAGAAACCAGTGATCATGTTTTCTTTTGATAAGAGTGATCATGCTCACTGAACTGGACTTTTTTCTTTAGTCTGTGGTTTCAATAGCTTTGAAACCTTTACAATGAGGACCAATTGTGCTACTCCTGACACTTTAGGATCAGTATTGCATGCAGTTAAAATGCAGTTTATGTTGCTGTTTATACGCAATTGTATCAAGATTGCAAAAAATTGATTGTTTCTCTTTTGTCTTTGTTTTCCTGACTGCCGACTCTTGCACTGTTACACTTTGCCGCTTCCCAAAGAATAACAACACCTGATCCCAAATAATCCTACACAATTTAACAAGCTTGAGTCATAAATAGTTCACAGCTCAGATGGGAACACACAACACTACAAGAGAGTTATGTCGACACAAATACCTTGCTTCCTTGTAATTTGTTCAAGGTGTTTCAAAGCTTGGACCTGTCACAAGAATTAAATACAGAACACTGAAACATCTGACTGGACAGGTCAGCATCACAAGTTGTTCATATTTTTCAACAAACATTTTATCTCATTTTATTCATGCTTTTACAAATTACTTTTAATTAATAAAAGAGTGTTAAAATCTTCTCATTACTTTTTGCTGTTTAGCAAAATGAGGTAATAGCCACAGGGAAAGAGGAGAACCAAGGAACCGGCTTTATTGTGTTACCTGACAAGCTACACTATCCTTGTTTTTCTTCATGTAATCTGTTGTTTGGATATATGAAAAAAAGAAAACATTTAATTCATCTAAGCAACTTATTCTTCAGAAGTTCTAAAAAAAATAAACCTAACCACTCAACACAGCAAACTTAAGATATTGTTTACCTCACAAGCTATCAGAAATTTTATTTTAGAAATGTTCAAATATTGATGGATAAATATTTACCAAGAACACCTGCCACACCCTTATCTTTGGGTACTGGTTTTGCAGCTGTGGAAAAAATAAAAACCATTTGAAAACAATATAAACAATAAAATTTTTTTATAATATATTAACCTTAGCCAACTGTATCTATGGAACATCTTGTGGTTGCACATACCATCTTTTCTTGCTCCTTTGGTTGCAGCCCCTGTTCCTTTTGGCTGTTTACTACTCAGTGCAATACAACCTTTAACATACGGCAGCTCAGCCAGTTCCCTACAGGCAAAAATTGTCCCACAAGTGAGAATACAAAGTAACTGTTTTTGATTAAAAAAAAAAAGAATTAGGCAAGACCATCTGAACAAATTGTTCTTAATTAGCTACTTTGTCAAGTCCTTAGTATAAGTTGTGATTTTTTAATTAATCACAAGATGAATGAAATAATTGCTCATGATTTCATGATTAAGTTTGCAATAAGAACATAAATCCTGGATGCCCACAATCAAGAAACAAAGCGGGAGAGCTGGGTGGCAGCAGACCACATTTAACATAAATAATGATGTGTAATTTCTAAAGAAGAAAAATAGGCTGATAAATTATTCACTTTTGTAACTGCAATTTGTCATTAAAAAACTACAGTTACTTCAATTTTTATCTTGGTTATCCTTCTGTGACTGGCTGCTTGAAAGTTTATAAAATTCTTACTTCATGGTAGGTCTTTGTTGGAAATTTCTTCTAAGCATAATTCGAATAGTCTGGCAGAGATCTTTAGCATCTTTTGTTTTGTATGCCTACAAAAAACAATTGTAATAAAGTAATATTTAAATGATACAATTTAAATGAAAATATCACGTTACTTCATCAGAACTCCAACCGGAGTCTTGGCAAAATATTTATGATTGTGAGTATAAAGTCTGTTTACTTGGTATAATTACTCACAAGTGATTAGGCACACAATGAATGTATGCTGTCTACTGAATTACACAAAAAAATTAACACTCGAGGACTACCCCATTGTCTTTACAACCAGAAGCGAAGTGAAGCACTTGGCTTTTATATAATATGCTGCTTAATTAAACTTTGAAAAAGAAACAACAAAATGAAAGAAAATTCACTCCCTCTTGCTAATGATCACTTAATCTGAGCAAATATGGCTTAAGTACAAAAATGTGCTCATAAAAAATCAAAAGTTATGTTATTATAAAAAGTCTTTTAGGAGATAAATTATTAAAGAGGGTATTAAGTTTCTAAAGAAACTGTGGTGCTGCATGGGTGAGAGAATATAACAGGGTAATTAAGTGTTTTCACCTGAGTTAATCATGTAAATTGGCCACTGAAAGAGTTTCCAAGCTAGCATTTCAATCGTTAGCCCTTCCTCAGAACAAATGGTGAAGGGCTAACACTTGAAACATCAGCTTTGAAACTCTTTACAGTGGTCAATTTACATTATCAAATCAGTTGAAAATACTTAATTACCCTTTTAGAGATAAATGAATAAAGGGGGTAAGTTTCTAGAGAAACTGTGGTGCTGCATCAGTGGGAAAGTAAAACAGGGTAATTAAGTGTTATCAACTAAGTTTAAAATGTAAATTAGCCACTGTAAAGAGTTTAAAGGCTGATGTTTTGAGCAATCGGAAGGGCCCTTTGCTCTGACGAAGGGCCCTTTGCTCTGACGAAGGGCCCTTTGCTCTGACGAAGGGCCCTTTGCTCTGACCAAGGGCCAGCGCTTGAAATGTCAGCCATTAAACTCTTTATGGTGGCAAGTTTACATTTTCAACTCAGTTGATAACACTAAATTACCCTTTTTAGAGATAAACAGACCTTCTCAACTTCTTTAAGAACATCTTCAAGTTCTTGAGGAGATTGTTTGATTTGAAAGAGTTTTGAAGATATCTGTGATTGCTGCAACACCAGAAAAACAAAGTCTTTGTAGGAATCTCAAATACACTTATCAATTTGTTTCACATACTATAACTAGATTCTATAGTATTATTAAATGATTGCTAAGAAGAATATTTGGTATAAAAAGAAGAACACATTATTTATGAAAGTTGTCAATCCTTTCATGGTTAAACTGGTATGTAAGGTAACTGTTCTAAAGATGACAATTTAAGCAACAAATTTAATATATGTTTTAAATGGTAAATCCTCTTTTAAAACAAAAAATATCCTTGCACCTGCATATGTATTACCAGCATAAAAATGCCTTGATAAACTTTCATTAATTTTGATGCCATTGATCACATTTTTAACATTCAGTTACTCACATCCAGGAAGCCACAAGTGGCTAATTCAAGAACTATGCATCCAAGTGACCAGACATCACTCCGTTCATCATATCTTGCAACCATTAAGAATAGTAGACATGAAGGACATAGGATAGGTGAACTACACATCAGTAGATTGATACAACTCAACAAATGAAATGATCCTCCTTCTTTGTTGCCCATAAAGAAATGAAACAAGTGAAATAAATCATAACAATTTGTTTCACCCACTAAAATTATCTTCACTCTCAACAGGTTGCTTTTTAGCTCAGTAGCAGCACCAAACTGGAAGTCATGCCTTTAACTCTATTGAAGCTTGAATTTTTTCATGTCTCCTTTTTGGCACTTTCTTCAATGCAGTTCACTTGTAAAGATCATACTGTTGTTCGTCATAAACCACAGTTTGTCACTCACAGAATGAAAACCATTAAATGTACATCACAGACAATCACACAGATTACAAATAATCAAACCATACAGAAACTCTCCAGACAATGAAGATCACAAGTACTGCAAAGAATCTCTGATGGAATACAATGTAGTAATCATGATTCAAAAGTGATTTGCCAAACTGATTTCACATTAAAGTAGGCCAACAAGTAAACGTACTACAATATTTTCAAAATTGTTGAAAAGGATACGGCCGCTCTAGTACCTCTGGTGCCATCCAGTTCATTGTTCCTAAACAAAAATAATTGCTTAGTAAGCATTGCATTTTCTCCTTCACCAGAGACAGCAAAGAACTTTAAAATGATAGGAGATATATAATAAAACAAATGTGAGTACTCTGATCCAAAGTAAATCACAGGAAACAATGATATGTCAGTGACTGTTTGGAAACAGAGAAAATGCATCTAGGGAGATTACTGCCCCTAAGACAGTGTCTGACATACAGAAACAATATTGTCAAAACAATTATATCAAATAATACCAAAACTAAAATTCATTGACTGTTTACCTATCAAGAATCATTGATAAAAAATTCTTATAAATAATTGTTGACAATATCAATTGAAAGCTCAAATATAACTTAATGAAGGATGATTAATTAAGGACATGACACACCTACTGTTGTTCGTGTGCGAGTCCTTGCATCATCCATAATGGTTGAAACACCAAAATCACCTGATGTCAAAAACACATTAAATATAGTTTAGTCATCTTAATGAGACATGTAATATGAAATATATTTGTGTCTAAATTCCAACAAAAGGTACATTCAAGAATAAAGATTGGCATAAACACATAAGATCATTTGCATTAGTTAGCCTTTGTTTGAACTTATCAACTAAGGTGTCAAACCCATCTAATGAGGTAGTCAACTAACTATTTATTCATAAAGACACCACTGGAAAATACATCATGACATGTAACCATTTGAAGCTCTTATGTGTACACATTATAAACTTGCCAAATTTTCACTTTTTTACTCAGAAATTGTGGTATCATCATGATATTAAAGTTTTTAAAATTTTCATTCATTTGGTTGTTATTCTAATAGTAAAAACCATAAATAATAACAGGCCAATGCTGAACAGGGGTCCACAAATCTAAGAACAAAGCCTTACACCTCTTTGTGTTTTTCAAAGAAAGACTTAACAGTGAAAACACTCTTGAGGAATCCATTACAGTTTCTAAGTCATAAGTCATAGGTTTATAACTTATAAGTGTGCACAGCTGCAAAGGCCAGAGGACAACTTTTAGAGATAGCATCACTTAGATCAGATCAGTGACTTACCAACTGAAATGCTTCCATCCTCAGCAAGAAAAATATTACTTGGCTTAAGATCCCTGCCAATGGGAGAAAAACATTTTGTGTACACAATGTTTAATCAGCCTTGCGTAACAGAAACACGAAGAAATTATTTTAATCAATAATTTTAACAGGTCTTTGCAAATGTACTAGCAGAAGTAACTTGTAATTCAAATTTTTTTATGAAGTGGAAAAACTTGCAAACACCTTCATTCAGAGTGGGTTACCTGTGAATCATACTCTTGGCATGAACCCAGGTCAGCGCATCAACCATTTGACCAAACCACTTTTTTATTACCTGATAACATAAAGTACAGCAGAAATAAAAATACTATAAGATTCACTTCAGATTATTAACTTTATAATGGGAGGGCAAAAGAAAATTTCCTTCTGACTTAAGGTTACTTTCCACCTTCAGAGGCCGAAAAAATTGATTGTTCTTTCGTTTTCAAGACTAAACTCAATTCAAACATTCAACCTCATGTTTCCATAACAAAATTTCTTAAATCTTGAATTTAAAGCACCTGAGATATTTGGAAAAATGTATTTTCAAATAAAAGTTAATAAATCAGGAAAGTGTTGTAATCTCAAACCAAGGTGAATGCTCTGGTGGAATTTTCACAGCAACTGCTCATCTTGGGGCTTTTTTTTCATGCTATTTCCATATTTCATCTATATCACCCACTTTACAAAATTCACACACGGAAGCTCTTTGCTTATGGAGAGGTCATAGCAATATAATCTCCTAGTGTGATGCAAATTGTCTGCAAACCTTTATGAGCAAAAATCTCGCATTTGATTTTGGGAGAAATACAACCACTTTGAGTGATTTTATAGGGTATATAGATTTAACCGGTTTTCACCAAATTTTGCCAAGTCTCGGGGCAAGTCTTTATGGTCTTTAGCCCACATAATAGCCACTTTCTATGGCTTATTAATACAGACCTTAAGAGTTTACTTGTAAAAAGGGTAAGGAAAATTTTCCAAAAGTTGTTTAGTCAACACAAAAAAGTTCAAGGTTTGTTTTTTCACAAATCCATGCGTCAAGTAGCAAATGGATTCAGATTTCACATTTTGTTGAATGGATCTGGTTCAGCAGATTTGCATACCCCCATTTAGTCCTTGTGAAAGTAACAAGGCTGTATTTTTAGCTTCATCAACAGCTGGGATTAGATTTAATCACTTCCAAGATATATATTTTTACTTACAAGTTCTGGTATAGAAACTCCTTTTGCTCGTTTTTGCTTCAGGGCCCTATCTAAGTCACCTTCACAAGTTCAATGAGACAAAGTATTCATTAAACATAAATGGCTTAAAGTTTATAAAATTAAATTTTTGAATATATGACATGCAAAGGGCTTGTCAGTGACAAAATAATTTAAATCAGGCAGCTCACCCATCTTGTAAAAATCCATCACAATACATACAAACATAGCTGCCTCCTGAAAAAGGGTTTCAAAAAGTAATGAGCTCAATACAATTTTGAAATCAACTGTAATTGTCGTAGGTTAGGAATACACATATGGTGATGAATCTGATATACAGGAGTGCAGAACGTATATGTTGTGGTTCAATTTTATCCTTGGTTCAAATTTTATTCTCTTTTGTTTTTGGGTATTGTAATGTATGATAATGAGTTTGAAACAAAGGAATTAAAATTTGAACCAAGGATAAAATTGAACCACAATATATATAACATAACTTATCCAGATCTGTTGATAAACTCAGCTATCACAAACCATGAACAGCTCTATAATTAGACAATAATTATAAGCAGACACAAGAATTAAGGTTTCACTGCACCTTAGGGTCTGGCTATACAATTATAAATTTACTGATGGTATTGATGACAATGAAATTTCTGATCATGTGGTGCTTGATAGATAAATCATTGAATTTCATGAAATAAGCAAACCTCCTTATCCCATGTTACAAAAAACTCTTTGTATCCACAGATATATGGGTGTTTGTGTGGATGTTGAAGTTCTTGTAAGGCCACAGCCTGTCACAGAAGTAAAATACATGTTTCAACCCCTAGATACTAAAGTTACCAATCTATGTGCAAAGTTATTTTTCTAAAACACTAGCTTGTTCCACATTCAGCTTTGCTCCTCTCTCTGAGTTTTTTTCCTCCACTGTCAGTCCCTTACTCTTCCCCTCCACTCTCCTTGCAACCTCACTTCTCTCCCCACCTCTGTGCCATAAAGAGTTTTTATTATAAAACCCTTTGACGTTCCCATTAGATAATTCACCTCTATATGTTAAAAGGGATGCAGCCAAACTTTACCTCATGGAATGCTTTATTTGCCTCTCCTTCATCATTGCATTCAACCTATCAAAATGAATAACAAAACAGACCAATGACCAGGCAACTGACTTCTCAAGCCTCTCAAAAAGCCCTTTTTAAAAGCAAGTCTTTTTGTTTAAATATTGAAGAATTTTTTTTTAAAATTTGTTCTCAATTAACTACAACCACAATAGGGCTTTTAAACACTGATGCATGAAGTAAGAATAAAACAAATATTCTACAGATGCCCAAAGTAGTTACAAACTCCCAAGTGATTAGAGAATTGGCTATGCTGTGTTATAGACTGAACTTGACACCCAAAGGTCCACAAGTTAAACCCACAGCCATGCTTATTAAGTGTTCACTGGTTTGCCTGGTTATCCATGTCTCATTTCATTAATTAAATCTCTATCGCTAATTTCCTCAGCTTCACTAAAGGAGGTGCCATTAATCCTGCTAAGGTTTAGTAATTGTATGAAGTGGATGCTTTCAACCTTTTTGACAGGATGTTAATGATTACAAGATAGTGCTGATGAATAAAGTTAGACTACTGTTTATCAGTTTTAAGCTACATCAAAGAAATTCCGTTTGATAGGTTCATCAAAAGATTGCTGGGCTGATGAATTCAAGCCATCTTTTTTCCTGTTTCTTTTTCCTTTAAGTGTCTCAAAGATTTTTCCAGACTGAGTGACACACGACTTCAAGACGTGGAAAGAACATCAGTAGTGGCACAGTTGTCCGTAGCTCTTGTGCCACTCTTTTTGTTCCCACCACACTCTCGCGTCGTGGTGCAGAATGAAAGAATCTATTCGTTTCAAGTACTTCTGCGTATCTGGCTACTTAATGCCATTCAACACCACACAAATTCTTTGAGGATTAGCGCCAAATTCACGTTCTACAAATCGTCTCAAAAAACCTACGTTTCAATTTAAATATACATTCAGGTTGAAAAGGATTTACCTGTTGTTTTAACAAGTCTGACTTTCTTTTCTATTCTATTTACAAACTATTCTTACACTAACAACTTTTTCCCCTGGTTGTACTCATCACGAGAACTCTGTTTGCTTTATTTCCTGATGTTAAATATTTTGTTCGATCTAATCAGTACGGCGTACATAATAAAAATACTTGATTTGCTGCAAATGGGAATAGTTTCTAGGAAAAATACTGCAAATACTTAAAACAACTACCGTGGAATGTACGTATGTGACATTTTGGCAACAGGCACAAATCTAAGCTTACATGGCTATTACAACTTAAACTGTCGCTTACCATGTTCGCTGGATTTCGGTTTTTAGGTCACATGAAGCTTTAGGACGACAGCACTTGCAGGTTGGATCAATGGAAATTTGTTTTGACCATGCTATTATGTGTAATTAATGAATTAGTAAGCCTGGTTTACCTTCTTCAAAACATAGAGGACCTTATCGTGCTTGTTTTCTGCCAAAAACACAGATCCCTGCGCTCCCTTTCCAAGCCTCTGATGCAGCTATCAAAGGAAAGATGTTTTCAATATTAAATGCAATGTTACAGTTTGCGAAGATCGCTAAGAAGAATCCCTGAAAATTTACCTTGTAGCTATCCATGCCTAGATTGACAATTCAGAATTACTGGTGTGTGGCGGTCACTAGGTTTCTTAACATTGCATAAATTATGCTAAATTTGTTTACTTATTAACAATGAATTAACATTTAATTACTTAGTCTTCCAGCTCTCCAATTTAATTTTCCCTTGCAATGGAGTTGTTGCTCCCGATTGTTAACCAGTTTCTGCCCTATTTCTGTTCATGCGAAAAGCAGTGCCGAATTGAGGGAGTACACGAGTCCAGAGGATTTATTTCTCCCTCTTCAGCCATTCCTCATTGCTTCACTGCTAATTTATCATATGGGAAGGTTTATAAGTTAGCCGAAGTGTCTTCTTGACTTACCTGAGGGAAGAAGTACGGCCATCATGTGCTCGTAGTCTATTCCCATTGCCAAAAATTCAAGACTGGACAATGTCTTAACTTTATGAGCAAAAGTTGGTTAGGGGTGTGGGGATGGTACACCGTGGTGGGGTCCTGACATGACTTGTCCCCAATCTCTAATTCGGAGAGGGAGGAAGTATGTTGCAGAATGGATGCGGAGGTCCGAGTTTTGCATGAGGTTTGTACCTACTTACACTTCATTTGCCTGGATCATTTCAATTGATCTACAATTTTTACATCACTACTTGCATTTTTAACGTTTTAGGGATATTTCTACGTAATTAAACTGCCTTTACGTCAAGAAGTTGATTTTGTTGCATTGAATGAATCTCACCATTGATGAAATATTTTGTGTCGCAATGCGTACAATCTTGTTTTCGTGATCTTTGGCCAATCTTTTCGACAGGGGACACTTGAGAAATGCACGCACGAACACGGGAAAAAGGATTGGAAGCGGCGATATTTTGTATTCAAGCACATATTGGCAAGTAACATCAGAAGCTTGGAGTTCTATGCTGTTGGTAACAGCAAGAACTGGCGGACTGCAGAACCTAAAGGAGTGTTAGCTCTTTATCCCGGGTATGAAATCATAAAAGTTCAAGAACCAAAGCGTCATTTCGTCTTTGAAATCAAAACAGTGGATCATACTTATCGTCTGGCGGCTCATTCTGAAGATGAACTTAATGAGTGGATTCTTATTTTGGAGAGAGAGAGTATAGGTGAGTAGATAGATGACATAATTAATAACATTTGTTAAATTCTTGACTGCGATTTAAGATCATGAATAATGAACACGTCAACAAAGTAATCAAAATGAGAAGTAGAAGGCATGAAAAAAAGGAAGATCAAACAATGTTATCATGTGAAAGGTGAAAGTTGTTTGGATTTAAGGTCAGCATGAAGTGAGAGCCACATCTTAAGCTATCATGGATAGCTGTAAATGCTCTGATAAGCACCTAAGGGTAAATTAATTTTCAGAGAATGAAATATATTAAAGTTCACACAGCAACCATGTGGACAATCAGACATGGTTTGATGCTACTCTGGTTTACAGATCTAATGAATGTAACTGAAGAAGTTACAATTCATTTCAGACATGAGAGGGGCTTACTTGAGAGGGGTCTCTTTTAGATTGTACAGTTAGTGATTGTCCATGGAACATGTTTGAGAGGAAGCATGTCCAGAAAGATGCCCAGAATTTCAAATGGAAAAAAACTAATGTTTTGTAGTGTTTTTAAATATATCATTGATAGTATAGTGTGATGCAAAGATCAGGAGAAAATCTTTCTTAAATGGTTCCTGGCTCAGAATGAAATCAAAGTGCTCTGTGAGCAAACTCGTGAATTGACACATGATTTTTTAGATTATGTTTAATGTTATCTGGTTTAGGGAATTTTGTGGTTGATTGTCATATCTAGAGTACGAGCAGTAGTTCAGTGTTCGCTAATGTAGCAAAGAAACAAAGTAACGTTGGGATAAGAAGGCATTACAATTGAAATGATCATGCTATTACATTTGACAAGGTGGATGATGTCATATGTTTTAAACGTCTATCATTTTTGTTTCTGGTTCAAAAGAAAAGGTTGGAAGTAAATGTGGGTGAAAAGTGAAATTTACTGTCTTTCGTCGTAAATATTAGAAAATGATGGCAATGCTGTCTTAATGAAAACATTAACGATTCCCTCTTTATCAAATGAGACAAACGGGAACGAGTTTTGAGTGATATAACTAAGCCTAGCCTGCCACCGTCATTTTGGATCTCCGCCTGGGTAGATTTAAGTCACGTGCTAGGCAACGTATAATCAATAACAAGATAGAATTTCATTTCAGGCCTATTTATCAATTTTGTGGTGTGTAACTTTCGCATTTTAGTACGTTGTATGTATGTTGAATCTTCAAATTGTCTTGAAACTTAAAAGAAAATTGTTCTTTAAAAATTCACCGAAAATCGGTAGCTAAAATTGTTTGTTTAGGTGTTATTTGATTTTCGTGTTAACTTGTTATTTCGTCAGTCGCCGCCGGCATCTTCTGTTGCTTCACACAGTAAAAACACACGCGACGAAACGTAATGATCAATTTTGTCCTCAATCTCACGCTATAACAGAAAAAGCTTTTGAACATCTGTAAACTCCGAGCGCTTCGCAGTAAGTGATATTTTCAATTAATCTTCGGATTGTTTTCAAGTTCAAGGATTGTAAATTACAATTTTACTGAAAACGAAGGTTGTTATGTTATTTCAGTGTGAATCCTTGCATGCCTGCCAGTCGCTGGCGCTGCTTGTTGAAACTAAAACGAAAAAAAAAACTCTTTTAAGATTATCATTGGCTTCTTTTTCACCCCACCACTATTCTTAGCAACAAAGGTCGCCATTTCGTCTGTTTATTGCTCGCCAAAAACTATAAAATGCACTCAAAAGCCTAAAATCTAAAAAAAAGTTTACAGGAATCGACCAATCGAGCGAGCGAGCGAGCGAGCGAATGCCATTCCCCACATTGTATCTATAACTTGCTCTTGCGCATGCGCGCAATTCACGAGTTAAAAAGGCTGAGAAAGAAAGATCTCTGAGTTGTTTCCCTGTAGGGATACTACTGAAGGAGACTGGGGATTATCATTACCAGACATTTCTAACCTTTTGACATTGTCTGAATGTAACTATAAACTTCCTGTTGATCTTCCTTGATACTTGCCACACGATTGTAGTTTCCCAGATGGTTCCACGGAGATTTGTTGTAACTCAGCTGAAATTGCTGAAAATAGGTTTTTAAACTCTATGCTACAAAGATTAATAGAATTCTTAGAAACAAAGATATGGTTTTACATTTATTTGAATATCAATTGTATTCTGGGTTTATTATACAGTCAATTCATTTTATGTGGATCCCGAAACCACAGACCAGATGTTAAAGCTGGGAGCAACTGGTAAATGTCACCTCCATGTAGCAAACAGTGAGCTACGACTTCTCTGTGCTAAAGATGGAAGATTGCTGGTGGCATGGCCTTTCACATGTCTACGAAGATACATGAGTACACGGGGAAAGTTCACAATTGAGGCTGGGCGAAGAGCTCCCACTGGAGAAGGAAAGTTTGCATTTTTTACTCCTCAATATGATGAAATTTACAAGCTCTTGGACAATGTTGTGAAGTCCAGGGCAGGCCATAAACCTTCCCATGAAACAATGGAGAAGAAACATTCTGTGCCAATTGATAGTGTATCCACAAATTGTAAAGAGACTCCAGACAATAGTTATGAGCAGCTGTCGTGTATCCCTGTGACTACATCAAGTATGACAAATTCATTAAAAGACACATATGCTGCTCCCTATGGGCATCTGCCATCACGTGATATGACAAGAACAGGCCTGCCGCATGTTACTCAAGGTGCTTCTCAAGCTATACCCACAGAGGATGATCAATATAACACACTAAGTCAACCAATTCATGGATCTGAAGAACCAAGGATCCAACATGTCCAAAAACCTGTTGTTGCAAATGAGTACAACACTCTTGATCAGCACCTTGCTTTACCTCATCAAGGACAGGATATGTATAGTGTCCTTCAACATAGTTCCAATCCTCCAACAGGCTCACTTCAGAAAGAGACAGAAGATGTTTACAATGTGATCGGAGAGACTTTGCACTCTGTGCCACATGCTAGTGTTCAAGAAAATAAAGATGTGTACAACACCTTGTCTTCTCCCCAAAGAAATGTTCTGCCACCAACCACATCAGCTCCTGAGGAAACATACAATGCACTAGATCATGGTTCACCAGTATTGCCTCCTCGCAAAGGAAACTTTAATAGTCAAGCATCTGTCAGATCACCAAAATCGGTTGTCAGGAAGCTTTTTGACTCAACACCAGATGAAGTTGATAATATGTACAACACCCTAAGTACACAAAGACATCCTCCAATTCCAGTAAGAAAAACAACCAAGCAGTCAGTGCTTCAGAAATCCCAACCAAAAGATGAAGATGACGAAGTGTACAACACACTGGATAGTGCCTCAAAAGTAAGACCACCAGCACCTCCTAGAAAGACATCTGAACAGCTGATGTATGAAACTAACATGTACAATACATTGGATTTGTTTAGTGCAGGAAACTCTGCATCCAGTAAAACACAACAAGGAAATGATGAAATGTACAATACACTCAATGTAACAAGAGGGGGTACATCTCCTATTCCAAATAGACCAAAAAGTTGGACTGCATCGTCAGACAAAAGTGATGAGATGTATAATACACTGGGCAATAAAACTGTGGCCTCTAGTTCCCCCAGGAATGATGATGACATGTACAGTACACTTGATGAAACAAGAGGTAGACCTAGTCCAAGTGTGCCTGTTCCAACTCAGAGATCATTTCACCTTACCAATAGTCCTGCCAAAAAAGATACCTTGGAACTGAAAGGCAACTCTACTTCCTCCCATCACTCAACACGTTGTCCCCTAGATGTCTCATCGTCACCAGCAAAGACTCCTCAATTAACATCTTCCTTGGAGGACCCTGACTCTTATGCAAGCATCAGTTATTCAGCTCTGTTGTCCCATAAAGGAACACAGAAAAATCCTCCAATTCCAGTGAAAAGATTAAGTCCTTCCAAGGCTAGAAAAACCAGTGCCCCTGATGTTTTGTCATTTTCAGGACAGACTGGCATGAAGGATGTTAGGAAGCCAGGGAAAGGAATTGTTTCAAATTTGAAGGCTTCCCTGGAAGCAGGAGGCTTAGATTTGACCAAACAACCAAGGAAACCCAAAAAGCTCTCCAGAGAAGGAAGTGAGGACTTGTCTCCTTGTGCAGAATTTGCAGAGCAAAGAGGCAGCGAGGGCTTGGCAGAAAATATCGTTGTTTGTGGGAATTTACCCAATAAACCTGAAAGGTCACAATCGTCACCGTCTGATCATGGAGAGGATATTTATGATGAATTACAACAGACAGCTCAGGTCAGACCCAAGTCTTTACAAATCACTAAAGCTAAAAAAAGTCCAAAGAAACATTAAGTATTGGTAGTTATGTCAGTGTTCAGGCTCTCTTGCTAGAGCCGGAAGTATTTCATAACCATTTGGACTAAGTCAGTAATCTGTTGGAACTTGGGAGATGCCTTGCACACCCATTTTGTTATCAGTGCTAATGTTTCATTTCTCACCAACTTATTTTAATAGAGAAAGACATAAATTTTGTTATAAATGTTTGCAATGATAGCTTGCTTTGAAGAGAACTGAAAATGCTTTAATTCACTCCCACTTCCACATGAAAGCCACACCCTCCTAAGTGGGTGATTATTTAAATATTTTCAGTTGGAATAGCTTCTCTAGAATTCATATTTACTAATCTTTTAGTAGTACAGTCGAATCTCAATTATCTGGACCCCAATTATCCGCACTATTTGATTATCTGGACTTTCTTCTCTGGTCCCAATTTTTCCATGAATACTAATTAGTTGTGATCTTGAAAACTCAAAAGTTGCAAAAAGCCCAATAATCCTTTCAAAAGACTGTTGAAACAACGTATTATCCTATGTGCTTTTCAAAATTCGAAAGTGCGACGAGTCAAAGAAGTATTCTGATGTGCCAAGGGAATTTCATGCTTGATTAGTTCCTTCTGCGTGGGTTATGTAAACACACGAGTGATCAATTGTAAACTTAAATAAAAAAAATGCCTACGAAGCGAAAGCTTGCCGTTCTATTGATTAAAGATAAGCAGATAATTATTTCAAATTTCTATCTCATTAATATTCATATTTTCAATTATCTGGACTCTTGATTATCCAGACTATTTGCCAAGGTCCCAATGAGTCCGGATAATCGAGGTTCGACTGTAGCCAACTTTGTATGAAATCCAAGGAAATGTTATTCTCATTTCTAATTTACCTCTACACTAATGTCACATTCATGTATTGTGCTGAAAAGGAGATTTAGCAACTTTACAGGTCAATAATGAACATGTATGTGGCTTTCTGCAAAGACTGATTGAATACAGCATAAGGTGATCTTTCTGACTAATTAGGCTCTTCATTTACAAGTAGCCGGCCAACTAGAGGTAGTGTCTCTGACATTTCAACATCTCAGCATTCATTAGTGGCTAACTGATGGGATAGGGTACACATTCCTGTTTCCATTTCTTTGCTTGACACTCATTCGAACACATGACCAAGCAGATGAAGCCCAAATATATACTTTTGAAATAATTTCAGGTTAAATCTCCAAATGCTTCCAAGAATGCAGAGATTTGCTTGTAACTGAATTGTAAAAGAAATGGAAAAATATGTTTTCATCTTTGTTTTTTTTATTTTATACATTCATTATTTTATATTACTACAATATCAGATTTAAAATCAAAACTTTTAAAACAAAACAGCAGATTATCTAGGACACTTCATTAGTTTAGTTCAAAGATATGTAGAAGTTCTGTAGAAGACAATATAATTGGATAAGTAATAAAACTATGAAAACTATTCTCTTGAAAGAATGCTTCTCCTTATTCTTAATTATCTTGTCTATTACAATTGGATAGAAAATTTGAGCAGGAATTCTTGCGCCTAAATAGGGCTTTTCCAAGAGAGGAAAAAATATTTTACTATTATCAAATATATTTTAATGGAAATTGGCTTCTCACAAACAATAACTTTACAATGATATAATTAATTAAAATTTGTTTCCATATTTACAATGAAAATATGAATTTTGAGTAACTAGAATTATTTTCCATGTGGAGTTTTATTTCAAGGCAACATATTTTCACTTAAAAGTAACAACACAACAATTTATTGAATTAGAATCATAAATATATAAATAGAATTTGTTTTGAATACTCTTCAGAAGAAATAAGAGAGGCTTAGAGGTAAAAACTACTTTGATTTGTTTTGGCTAACCCTAAATTATTAAGCATATAATGTATTGACACATTCAAAGGAACTTATGGATTACTAGAAAAATCTTGCTTGTAGCCCAAGAGATAAGATTTCAGAAATCTTTCTTTGGTAATAGCTTTTTGTAGAGTTCACCATCAATTTGAAAAGCATCTGAAGCAGAAAGTTGCAGCAACTTTTGATTGAGTATCTAAGGAATCTAATTAGTTAACTAAGGGAGCAAAATCCTGTCCCTGATGATAAAATAAAATAACTATTTGTAAGTGTTTTTATCTTGATCAGGCATGGCTCTCACTAACAAGGTAAGCATAAGATTCTGAAAACTGACTTGCACTGAAATATGAACAAGAAATAAAAGTACAAAACATTTGGAATTTGTATCAAGATAACTTCAATGACAGTTATGATGACTGTAAAAAAAACAGAATTTGTTGGCCTAAGCTTAACCCTTTAACTCCCTTGAGTGACCAGGACAGAATTTCTCCTCACAATATCAATACAATACCAATCAGAAAAGTGATAAGAATACAGAAAAATATCAATTAAGGGATTGTAAGTTGATGCAATACCAAATTCTCTAAACTAAAATCACAAGAACTGTATGGCAGATGGTAAGGAGTATCAGTAATGAGTTCTTGGGAGTTATCATCACAACAAAAAGCTTACTTTCTTTATTTGTGTCTATCTCTCATTGATGTATAAAGTGTCCCATATCTCAAGCTTGGATCAAACACAAAATATATATCAGACAGGTTGGCTGGCAAGACTGGTTCTTTTAGCTGGCCAGTAAGTGGACCCCTCAACTCCACTTGGGAACTTCTGTTTGGACATTTGATTTCCCCTTGATGTGGCTCACAATAAGTTAAGCATTTTATGGTTATTTTTGCTTCCAACCCTTTTGATGCAGACAGTTCTAATTTAATTTTGAAATTTGTCCAACATCCTTCTTTGCATAACAAGAAAAGAAACTAAATACCTGCTGTGAATAGTCCTTAATTTATCTGTTCCTTTAAGAAAAGCTAAACATTTATCAAAAATCCATTTTATGGAAATAAAATACTGAACAAAACTGGCTCCAATATTACTGAATGAAATCGACATATCTATAGTGCTTCATGATTGTACATCATGTTATGTTGGAAAAAAGATTATCTCAACCTAAACACCAACACGTTCATTCAAATATGGTACAAATGGCCCATTACTTTTCTTGTTGAGTAAGGTGTGACACTTCTGTTAATGTCCTCTCCAATGCTTCTACCTGACCTTGGTATGAGCCCTTCTTTTCAGGTAATACAGGCAGATTAGTAACACCCTCGGCTCTTTCTCCTTGAGGGTCTGATTGGTTAACAAGGTTAGCATGAGCCCAGGAAACTCTTTCAGTACTAGGTTTTTGTGGAGGGATCATGGTAATGCATGCATCTTCATAGTCTTTACACTCAGTACCTGTTGCAAAAGCTGCAAAGTGGGTGAATTTTGGTGGTGACCCTTCCAAGATGCTATCAGAGCTCTTACTTTGATGTCTTGTAAGAGTCACTGCATTATCTGATGCTCTTTCTGCTGGATTTTTATTCTTTGTCTTTTTACTAAGATCCACAGTAGCATAGAGTGCTGGCAAAACCTCAACACTAGAGGAACATGCTGCATTCATATAAAAAAAGTTTGGAGAGCCAACTACAGATAAAGGTTTCTCACCACGTGAAAAGCTTTGTGTTCTCTCAGCATGATCATCAGATGCAACTTGCTGAGCTGATCTTGGTACACTGGATGGTTTTTGATTTTTTGGAGTTGCACTGGGTTCTTTTGAATGCTCATTACCATTTGTTAATTCATTCTTCTTTTTGGGTATAGCGGGTGCCATTTTTGTCCCATGTGATTTCTGGTCAGCAGATGGCTCCTCCTGCATCAAATGCCTCTGTTCCATTTGAGATCTTTTGTCCTGTAAACACCACAAGATGTATCATGGAGTCAGGCCTGTTTGGCAAGCAGAACAAGGTATAAAACATCTTGTAAGTTAAAAGAAGACAGGTTTTTATTCCACTCAATGACCTGCATCTACTTGAGACCTCTTAAGTTTTCTTTTACTTCCCTGCATGACCATTTTTCTCTTTTTTCATCCTTATGATTGTTTTCTATCAGAATTAACTTCCCACCAAATTATAGCCGCACACTTTTCTAAGATACAGTGGTGGGTAACTCTGGATAAAAAGGATGTCAAACATTAATTTTTAAGAGGACTATTACCCATTCCTGTAAAAATAACAAAGAAAGGTGAATCACCATTAACAGCATTATTGCAATCACTTACCAGTGATTGAGAAAAGTTACGGCTTGAAGTACTTGGTGAACGGGCTAGTCTGTCATAGCTTCCTTCCTGTATGGTGTTTTCCGTCTGCACTGAACTAAGTGTGTTGTACTGGTCCCTCGGATAAGTTGAACTGGATGTATGGGAACCCCAGCTTGGTAGCCTCTCCAGGCGGCTGTAGCTTAGAGCAGATTCTGAGACCATTGAGAAGCTGCCAAGACTATGTGCACTGCCTATACTATCTGATCTGCCTATGTGATTATATGCTTGCTGTGGTGTCCCTGTGTCAATGGGTCGTGGCACACTCTGGCTCATATGTCTAACAGATCTGTCTCGATTCCCTGGAGATAAGGAAAATTATTATGACTCAATCAGTCAGAGTTCATTTGTGAAGTTGTGTAGTAACCTGAAATTGCTAACAGTTTTTCAGAAGTCTATTCTGCATGCCTGAACATTCCCAAGTGTTTCTACATAGACAAAACCAGTTAATCCCAATTTTGTACAATTAGAAGAAAAAAAAACTTAACAAAATTATCATAAATACCTGGGAAGTTTTGGAGGCTAAACCTGAGTTGATCATAGGCACGTTCAATGTCATCTTCTGTCAGCTCATTTGAAGCTGTTGGGGAATGGAAGTTCCTTCCCCTCCTGACACGAGCAGAAGCAAAACTGTCTATGGCATCAAAAATCTTGTTGTCATCACCATTGCGTGTGACAAAGTTGTATTTCCCTTCACCCATAGGGGATGCCCTGCCAGCCTCAAAGATAAATTCATTGGAATCTAGAGCTTCATAGTTGCGAATTGTTGTCAAGGGCCACTGAGCCAGCACAGCTCGAGTACGCTCTAAAGCCAGGGACAAACCCCACCTGGAAATGTGTAAGAGACACTGTTGGTCCTTAGCTCCTATTCTCTGCATTTGTCGGCTGCCACTGCCTTTGACCCTGAAGACCTCACCTACAAGACAAATTGGGATACACCATGTTTACAAGGACTGGTTACCCTTGTTAGACTAAGCATTTCAGAAACATTCTGTTTGATAGCAGTTTCATGAGCCCAAAGCACCAGAGGCATAAATGGGTTTTTTGACTCTAACCTGCTACTCGTGGATTTAAAGTAGTTTGCATTTGTAACTGAATCACCCACAGATCCATCACAGTCTCACTCTCTGCAGCCAACGTCAATGTTTCAGCATCAGTACTGATCTCAAACACATACTGCCTCGACTTTTGTTCCATTCTTTTGAACACCTTGTATCTGGGAAACAATTCCAATGTCCCTCGTGCCATTTGCCTCTGCCATCCTTCTTCTCTATCAAACCACTGCAGGAAAGGTTGGTCTCCAGCACAATATTTTCGTAGCACATAGTAACTCTTCTTCCATTTCTTTGTGAAAGACTTTTTCAACCAGCCTTTGCTTTTTGCATCATCTTCTGTCGGTTTCTCTAGCCACCCCTAACAAGTAACATAAAGAATTCAGATTAAAAAACTACATTGTGCTGATGGTTGTAATTACGAATACTATGTGAATCTTGTTGTTTATCATGAAGTATATTTTCAATTGATCATTACCATACCTATGTTATAGTAGTAAGGATTTCTCTTAATGTGTTACCCATTTTTCTCAAACCTACTTTCAAAAATTCCATGGCTTCAACTCTGACTTATGCAAATGAAATCCCCTGTTCATTCAACCATTTTTATTCATCTTAGAAACATCACCCTGTGGGTACTGAACTGAACATAAGATGACTAACCCTTTATTTGTATTAACATTATGCTGTGCACAGCATATGAATAAACAGTCTTGTGCATGTCTTTCTTTAGTAGATGATTGCAATTTCAACTGCTAGTCTGTTCATTTCTGCTTGCATCAAAAAGGAATTTTAGCCTTATATGGAGTTCATACTGACACCTATCTAAACAAAACTAAAACAAACACAACAGTAATTACGTAGGCTTACTTGAGAGTTCATCGAATCACAATAGTATGTTGGGAGGACAGTGAGTAAATAATGTCGCTCATGTCTATGCTTGTTCCGAGATGAGATAAACTTAAAGTCACCAGCTAGTTTCTAACTTCAGTACCAAGGTCACGTAAAGTACCGTAACAGACTTTGTATAACAGGGTTTCTTTTCACAACCTTCCTGACAAGCCACATACAAACACATTTCCTGATATGTAAATTACCTACCTCAAATACATCTTCGATGTCCTCCAGATCCGACATAACGCACTGTTTCTAATAGAATTGATTTAAATCAGAGCGCTCTCGGATTGCCGAGTCAGTCACTTGCGTGGATCAGACGATTGCGATCGGTCAGGCGAAATTGTAGCTTAGAAACAGTCCTCCATCGACTAAAAACAAATCTTTTGAATACTCACAATCTTAATTTTGAGATAATAGGAGAACTTATGCCGCAAAACCCTTGGACCCATTCCGGACGCACTCTCATTAAGTTAGTCGTACGCGTTGCGCGTTTTATACCGGAAAACTGCACTTCAGGTGGGTGAGGGGGACTGGAGAGTTGGGTGTGTCCAGCAGGATACATTCTTGAAATTAGTTAGAATCTGGAACAAATAAATGTCAATATTTTAAAATGTCAATTGACCATCCGGTTTGTCTTAATTTCCTTCTTCTTCATGCATTTATTACACCAATGCTAATCCTAATGGATCCTGTTTGTATAACCCTACACCAAGCCGGTTCCAGTGGCCCCGAATATATTTTTTAATTCGATTCTTTATATTTGTATTTGATTTTGACAAATTATCCCTTATCAAAAGATAATTCTGTTCTAATTCCTAAGATTCTGGTATCTAGTACAAAAGTTAATCGGGCTAGATGTAAGCCATTTGCTCATATAATGGTTCCTCATATATGCAACCATACACGGTGACTTAGCAAAGTGAACAAGTGTTGACAAAGGGAAGGAGATCAGTGAAGCCGATCGAAAGCTAGAGGTTTAGTACTAAGGAATAACCCGCTTTCACGAAGGGCCTGTACAGTTATAGTTAAATCCTCTTCCCTATATATCATCCGCTTGAGTTTCCGGGTTATTCGGTGGGTGGCGTCTTTAGGGAGAGAATTCTTTTCCGAACTTCTAACGAAGGATTTAACTAGTTCTGACTGTAGTTACAATCATGCAAGTCACACAACACTGATACTTTTCGTTTTCATATAATTTCAAACATTAACACAAGTCTCATCATTTGGGCTACTCAAAATTTTCTGGGGCAATTAAGTGGAGATTCTTTATGAGGTAATTTATTCTAAATCCCCCTCAGCATGTCCTTAAACTTTGACAAGATAACTCTTTGGTTTCGCACCAGGGAAGGAATAGAAAAAACCGGCTAATGACAATTCTCAGAGTATACCGAGGTTTAAGATCCAAGAAGAAAAACGTCAGGTAATTATAGAAGACGGGGGTCGCTGTCAAATACACCAGAATAAGTAAGCTTTTTGGAGCTCCATCACCTCTAAGCACCAGAAACTTCCATCCAACCATCATTACTTGTTCGATGACCTCGCAAATTACTGTAACTCGGTGCTTCTTTCTTGATCAACCGTGTTGTTTAGTAATTAAAATAACAAGAACCGCGTAACAAAGAAAGAAATAGAGAATTGGGAAACTGCTTGAAACAGAATATCACCTTGAGTTGAAAATTAGATAAACATCCATCGTGACAATTTAGACTTAAATACCGCTCAGTAAATTGTAGACATATTTTAATCATTACAATTCCTATTTACCCACGATAATTAATCGTAAGTTTATGTAGAAATGAAAGAACCTATCTTTTCGGTGACCCCTGAAGCATCAATTCAAAATAAACAAGATCAAACAAGTAATTCAAAATCAGTTGTCAGTGATGTTTGTACCGTTGCTCTTCAATTCGATGTTCTTCCGATTTTGCTTTTCGAAGCTGTGTTTAATATCGTTTAAAACTTCTAAACACTACCAAAAATAACTCTTTACAGTTTCTACGGAACTCGGCACTGAAGAAGGAATAGACAAATGCATTAGCAGTACTGTTAAATAGCATGAGATAATAAGCTACTATAGCATATTCCCTGGGCACTGCTACAGACACAGCGATTAGAAAGATGTAAGTAGCGAAGGGAACAGAACATAATACAAATATGGCTGTTAATAAAAATACAATTAATACAACTCCTCGTCTTCGTTGGTCGGCTGTGTGGCGAAACTTACTGAAAAGTTTTGAGCCTTGACCACGTAGTAATGCATGAATAACGGCGACATTAGTGAACACGATAAAAACTAGCGGAACTAGGAACGTGGCTGAAAGAGTCATTAGCAGAATCACCGTTATATCAGTACCTCGAAAAAAGTCGTACGAACAAAATGGAACTAATCCCCGGCCGCAAAACGGTGCTTCTAACCTCTTAAGGAAATAAAAGTCTGGCAGAGTGAACATGAGAGAATAATACCATGAAAATATTATCATAAGCACAGTACGACGTGTGTTAAGTGTAAAGTCAAATGGTTTCACCACAGCCAGGTAACGCTCCAGCGAAACACAACAGATTAAACAGGATGAAGCAGAGAGTGTAGTCCATGTTAAGCCACCAATAAGCTTACAAACAGGTGTGTTAGAGTGCTCTGAATCGATTCCTATGGCTTCATTGATGTTGTACACGATGCAAACGGCCATGTCAGCCAAACACAAGTGTTGAATAAGCAGCTTCATGGCTCCGCATTGTGCGCTGCGCTTCATTCGTTGTAGAACGAATATAACAAGTGTATTTCCTAAAACTGAAATGATTAGGAAAAGTTTACTAAATACCACTTCGCCCATTGAGTGCCATGATTCTGGAGGAATTGTACATCTGCAAAACTGTTCGTAAACGGCTCTTTCATTTTCCGATTCGGGAAAAGTTGACCCACTACAATCGAAAAGTGCTTTGGAAACATTCATCTTGGGCTTACGCAAAGAAGAGCCTCTTTGTAAGATTTACAGAAAAATTAGGTCGCTTGTTTCGAACAATGGACAAATGTCATAACTGTTTTTAGCAAACTCTTGGCTTGATTCGCTTATCGATGCAGTCAATGAAGGTTGGTCAGCTATTGATTGCAGAGAATGAAAGGCTGCTACGAAAATATGTTTCAAACAACGGATCGATCCCTTGGTGTCCTTTGATCTGTTCTGTTTTGACAATTTGGGTCATTTGACTATCAATAGCTCTTTTGTAAGAGCACAACACTTCCGAGGCATAAATTTATTGCCACATGTACTTTAAGAAAGCTCGAGAACGTCATGAATAACAAATTAAAGAGAAAAAAAAGGAAAATTTGTATGTTTTGTCCTTCTGAGAAAACAAATGCATCACTTGAAAGTAGGCATGTTAGATCCTACTCAAATATCCATAAGTGTTCTGTTTAGACAGTAAGATGACTAATGCCGCAATAATTCGAGTCGGTTAGTGTAGTTTGAGTTTAATTTATGTCAGAGTGTTTGTTTTCATAATCCCCTGACCGCGTCTAATTAAAGTGTTTGACAGATCTGTAATTTCTTATATCGCTCTGACCAAAATATATGGCTATATTCCGCTACACATAAAACACACCGGCAAGATAAATGTAAAACATAAAATTTTATCTAATTACATGGTTCCTACAATCTATCTTTACTCTGTAATTCAACATTCTGTCATTGAATGTCACACGAATAGTATGATTCACGACCCAAAAAAGACCGAACAGCTCAAAGGAATGGTCACTACCAAGGCTCCAGTTCTGGGGAAGTCCTTTTTTCTCCGTTTTCCTCCCCGTCACCTAAATCATCCAAGCCTTCCATGGCCGCGCGAAGCTCTGCTTCTAAATCGAGGTTCATGTCTAATCCCTCAGTGAAATCTGGAGTGCTGACGATATCTGGTGACGCAGGGGGCTGGGGTGGATCCGTGTTGTCCTTCTCCTGTTCTCTCTCACCTGACTCAGGGGGCTGGGGTGGATCCGTGTTGTCCTTCTCCTTTTCTCTCTCATCTGACTCCTCTGTTGTTGTACATGTATCTTCATAAGTAGACTTGTCGTCTTTTTGTTTTTCAGACTCATTTTCATCCTGTCCAGCTTTATTATGCATTTCTTTATTAGTATCTGTTACAGGTAGATTCGTTTTGTCAGTAGCTTCATCACCGGCAAAAAATGAAGAAACGGTTTTTCCTTCCAAATTTACATCCGGAGTATCTTGTGAGTCGTCGTTTTGTCTTCTTTCAATTGTTTCTGTGTCCTCAGTGATTGCGAGATCTGTCTCTTTTTCGTTATTGCTCTCAGATTTGATGTCTTTTGAATTTTGGCCAAGGTCAACTTCTTCGTTGCTTTCATCAACTTCGTCTCCTTCTTCAACTTCTGAGAGGTTAGCCACGACATTCCTACCTTCTACTTGGCTTACGCCATCAGCCAGACCAGCTGAAGTGATACTGCTTTTCTCTTCAACTTCACTGACAGGATCCAGCCTGGGAGTACCAGGAACAACAGAGGTAACCAGTATTGCCTCTGGGGAAGGAGGAGGGGGTATGGAGCCAGAAGTATCCACGGAGGGTGATGTGGCCTGTGCGTCCATTGAATATTTCCCTGGGTCATCTAGAATGAAACTGCCTAGTGTCGAATCCGACAGAATCTGATGTACTGACAAATCTCCTGAATCCTTGGAAGAGCTCATACGAGGTGGGGTACTCTTTGGCCTTCGAGGCGTGCGTTGCGCCAGAGGCTTTACAGTTAAGGACTTCGGCACACTTTCCTTCGGGGGCTGTTTGAGAGGTCTTGGGGCTCGCCTGGAGGGCGTATCTACGAACTGAATGGGTGTCCTTGAGCGCGGAGGTCTCCAAGCCGGTGCCATGTAACCACGCGAGTCAGTTTTTTCAGGCTCTTTCACAATGTTCGGTTTTCCAATAATTTTTTGACCTGCTACATGCATTCCTTTTCTCCCATAAGGATCTCCATGAAATTCAGCGAGAATATCCTGGGGGATGTATGTTTTACTCCCAGGGCTTGGACTTCGGACCATTCGGGGCGTGTCATCGCTGTTCTCGATCACATTTATTATCATTTTATCTTGCGGCCATTCTTGTGCATCATTCTTGTTTAAAACCAGACTTGGGTCACGAGAAAGAGCTCCTTCTGTAAGAAAAACTGGTTCAACAGCAAATTCCTCCCCCACTCTCTCCCCCTCAGGACTTCCCAAGGCCTCTCGGCTAATCATGGTTTCGTCCTCGTCATACACACTGGTCAGTGTCTCTCGCCTCCTGATGTAGCGAGACGTGACCGAGTTGTTATGTTCCCTACTCTGTGGTGTGCGGGAGAAGTATTGGCCGTGTCTTTCTGGGCTATTGGGAGTTGGTGCTGGGGCATGCACTGGAGCTGGAGAATATCTACAACGACAACAAAACAAAAGTCAAGAGGTCTTGTCACTGCCTCTCTTAGTTTGTGCATATGTACCCTGTGATGCCCTGTGATGATGTTTAAAAAGTGACGGAGGTTGGTATGAATGATTTTGATTATGGATGGAATCAGTTCCCTCATCTGTCACTTTTTTTTCGAGTTCATTCATTTAAGTTTAATTTTCTTTTCCCTCTATCTTCATAGTGGGCTTCCTGCAAAGTTGCCTAGAACAAGTGAAAGCCTCGCTTAAATTCTATGATGATCTCATCCGGGCCTTTTGGACAAAAAATGAAATCGTCCTACTTAAAAGCTATGCCACTACTTCCTGTGAACAGAGCCAAAATAATCCTTGTAGGAAAGCACGTTACTTACTTAGGAGCTACTTACCTAAGTGCAGATGTCATGTGACCTCGCACAGGCCAATGAAGATTCGTCTGATCATCACAAGGTGAGATGTACTCACTGGCATTGGCTGAAGTCACGCCTGGGGAAGCCAAGGCACACAGCTGAGATTCTTGACCTTCTAACTCTTCCTGTGGTGTCCCGATAGGAGTTGGTGTGACTGATACTACGTCAACCGGTTCCATTGCCACGCCCAAATTCAAGTTACGGGGAATGGAGTTGACACAGTGATGTAACTTAGACTTGGCACAACGCTCAAAGGGAACACCGACATATGCAAGAGGTAATAGTATGCGACCTCGTTTGCCAGTAAGTTTATCAACAACTGTTTTGATCAGCTGAGGTTGCAGTTGGTCAGTGTCTTGTTTTGATTCACCGTTGATCTTTAGCCCACCCTCCTCATCAGTAAGTTCTTCATCCACAGGGGGAGTGAAGTGTGAGTTTATATCAACATCTAGCAGCATGCGCGAGTTTTCATCTTGCAGAGTTTGTTCCAGAATTTCGCTCGGTAAGTTTTCAGCGCTTTTGTTCTGTGTACTTAGATCAGTAGGCTTGTCTGCTCTTGGACTTGACTGTTGTTTTGGTTGAACTTCTAACCCCAAAGGCAATTCTTGACTAACAGTGACTTGGCTAAAAATTGGCACAAAGGATAACGCCTAGTAAACCTGGTATAGTCACCACAGCGTATTAGGGAGACATTAAATTTGAGTTCCAAAAAAAAAAAACAGAAATATTATATGACTGTGTACATCCAGCTTGTTTGATTTTGGATTGTAAGTGATCATTAATCAAATGAATAAGCCTGTTTTCAGCTCTTCAGACGGACAAAAATACATAAATACAATGTAAATGGGCTTTTATACTCTTAACTTTCATTTACAGATTTACTTCGTTTCTAACTCATAATTTGAACAAGGTTCTTAGCTCAAAGACACAATGTCACGTATAACTGTTAATATATTGGTTGACAAATTTATGGGGCTGATTGACTAAGATGCACTCAAGCCTCTGTGGAAAATTGAGGACTGATGTTAAAAACTCTCCATGAATTTTCATTGGAGATTGTTTGACAAACACACATGTTGGTCAACTGTTATCCTTCTTATGCAAGGCATGAATTCAGACAATTTCTACATGTGTGAGGATACTACAAAAAGGTGTCTGTGTCATACCTTGGTTTGAGGTGTTGAATGATTCCAGCAATCACTGACCTGGGAAAGTCTCCAAAATCTTCCAGTCTGCAAAAAGAGGAACAAATTTAAGGTAATCATAGCATGCTCAGTCACTGGTAATTCAAGGAGTCAAGTTTGAAGTACATTAGGCAAAAACAGAGAAAGTACAAGTATGAAAACTTGTTGACTTACTTTTTACTTAACAATATACTATATTATTTATTTTAATTACAATAAAAATAGAAGACTACAACATTACTAATGTTTACATACAAATACTTACAGTGTAGTCAAGTAAACTACTAAAAATTTATATTTCTTGCAATACAATCTTTTAGTTATGAAACATGAACAATCCTTTGACTACTTGGAGTTAATTATGCCTACTTACAAGACAGCAAGGTCAAACTGTTAATTGTTAGCCTTATCAGAGGACCTAAGAGAAAATGTTTCTGTGTATATGCCAGAAACAATGAAAGAGAGAGTTATATAAGGTACTGTTACCTCATTTTTAGAAAGGGTTTCAGAATTTCCCAGTTTTTATGGATTGCATCTATCCTCAGAATGATAAGTCAATTAAAGTAATCAAGATAATATTTGACACACTGAGGTTTTGGTGTAAATTCTGTGATGTAACATCCTGTATGAATGGTTTGATCCAAATTTGTAGCAAATCAACATTTATATGTAAAGTGGATATCAATCTATAAATATCCTAGATTTATCCACAAAGGCCATACCCATAACTGGAGAGGTCTAAATCCTGAATATGCATTTTGCGATGACAGCTTCCACGACTGGGACTGTAAGGTTGTCCAACAGTGGGTGATCTGCGAGGTTTTGGACGTTCCTGGTAAAAATGCATTGAAAATTGTCAAATGGATGTCAGATTTATTTATTCGTTGCAGAATATTGCAATTGATTTGGTGAAATCCACCAATTAAGATCAAAATTTTGATTTTTAAATTCATCATAAAACAAAAGGCATCACCATGAAGCAACTGATAATAAAACCCACAAACTTTCTCATTTTCTCTTAAAGCCTCTTGAAGAGATTCACTGTTTTACTCTGAATTTTATATACATTTAGTACCCAAATTAGGAAATCAACAATGATATACTTCTGTCAATGTTCAAAGTTATCTGAGCTTTACAATAAATTGATACATGAGTCAATATTTTAAAGTGATTGATAGTCTCTTTAATAAGGTTGAAATATACTCCCAAAGTTTAAACTAACTGGTTTTATTTTTTCCATGGCTGCTGGCATCATGTCCTCTGTTACATCTTTAAAAGCAATTCTGTGAGGATCTCTCCTTCTTGAAATTGATCTAAAAACACCAAAAAGATACACAGATAAACTGGATTTATTGATAGGTCTTCCTTCCCTTTCCTTAGTTAAATTATAAATTGTATCTGAGGCACATTGCAAAAAGGTTTTGAAATCAATCATTGTTTGTAAGGCAGTCTAAATTCATGTTCAAGACTCATTACACCAAATAGCGCAAAATGCATATCCTACATGCTACAGACAATTAGTTTCCTATTCAGCTGAAACCAAATGTGTGGAAATAATATAAAAACTCCACTTATTTTTAATACATGATCATTGTTATCATCATCATTATGTTACTTTGCAGGACTAGTGCTTAGTTTTAACTAATTTTTTAAAAAACTAGCTTTTCAAAAAACTTCTCTATGAGAACATCAGTACTTTTTAGGTACTGACAAAATTCTTCTTAGGTAAAGCAATGTATGGCTCAAACTATCAAAATTACAAAGCAGTGGGATCTCTCACAGCTCCCTGATGTTGATTCCACACATGATCTCCCATGTGTGTTCTTGTAAGCCCTTAAAACAAAAAGTGCTTCCTTTTACCCTGGTACTATACTATATTTTTTCTAAACCTAACCCTAACCCTAACCCTGCCACTAACAAAATTTAACTAGAACTAAATAATTTATTTCAACTTTGATAAATTTCTTGAAACATTAAAAATATTTCTGATCACAAATAATCTATTATTTCTACCACTCAAAGCAGGTAAAACAGGAGACATCTTACCCTGTGCTTTTTGCTTTCCTTCTTTGCCTCTAAAAATTAACAGTCAGATTAAAGTGATAAATGGTGAGCTTACAGGACTTGCAGTGAATAACATCAAAAAATCAAAATGGTAATACACATATGATGATAACTTAAAAAAAAAGAAAAGTTAGGATTTTGTCTTATTCCAATCCTTCTCAGTCCTATGCTTGTTTTCACAACATTAAAATATACATGTATGATGTATTTGTTCAGTGGTTGCTTGATATTTAACAACATGTAACTGCAAGCAAATAAAATACTTGGGTTAACAAATAAACCAAGACAATTTTAATCATGATGATTGTGTTATTACTGACCTTGTTAGTTTGGCACCATATAAGATATGCTGAAGTAATGTATACATCCTTCCAATCTTGTAATAATTCATCATTTTCATACAACTCATGAACACCAACAACAGAAGCCTTTTTCTTCTTCAGCTCACCACCAGTGGGTTCTGTGACAGGCTGCAACTTTTTCTTCCATAACATACGTTTCTGGTAATCCGTCAACATTGTTGGCGAAACAGGAGATGGGCGAGGTACATGCACAGATGGAGTGCATGTAGATGAATGCCGATGACAGCTGAATAATAATATCAAATAAGTTTTAAAACAATCATTGGAAATTAATTGCCACAATTCATTACATCAGTTCAACACTCTATATTTGGCTGCTTTCTGCAACAGATGTTAGCAAAGATATTTAGGAAGGTAAAGTTACAAGCCTTTAAGACTCAGTCATTTCACAATATCAAGCTAGAGAAACACATAGTTTAATTGATAATCAACAAGAATTTGATTGATAAAGGTTGAGATGAACCACTGCAATTTGAACAGATTTTTTTCACTTCACTTGATGGTTCATCTAAGCTTTCTCTATGCAATCAATAATTATTTTTAGATCACACATTCCCTTAACACTTTAAAGAATTAAGGGGGGTAAGTTTCTAAAGAAACTGTGGTGCTGTGTCAGTGGGAGAGTATAACAGGGTTATCTAGTACTATCAGCAGAGTTGATAATGAAAATTAGAGTCCATAGAGAGTTTAAAAGCTGACATTTTGAGCATTAGCCCTTTGTCAGAGCAAATGGTGAAGGGCTAACGCTCCAATTGTCTGCTTTCAAACTCTTTATGGTGGATAATTATGCTATCAACTCAGTTGATAATTTCTAAATTACATCTAACAAATTGCCATTCTAAGCTTCAATTCAAACAAAAATAAGACATTCCTGTTTTATACCTGAGATCAGGTGATAATGAGGGTAACGATGCTGATCTGTGATGGTATATGTTTGTTTGTGATGCGCTGCTACAATGTCTTGCACTGTTACTTCTCAAGTTTGTTCCATCAAAGACATCAACAACTTTCAGGGTTGGAAGAGAGCCTGCACAGAAAATATACTGTTGTACACAACTTTATTTTCAATAAATACTACAAATACATCATTCCTCTTGTATTCAATTTGAATTTTCAATGTGAAATAACAAAAATTTGCTTGGAGCATGTTTGAAAAAATGGATACACCCTACCAGCCTAACTGGACAGTAAACTGGGGACCGGTCTTTAAAATCCCTCTCACTTCAAGTTTCAATTGGAAGACGAGTTAAGAAACAGCACAACCAACTCCTTGGAAAATGATGAATAAAGTTACATCTCAGAGCACAAGCTGACATTGAGTTATTTCGAAACAACTGCATCCCATGAAAGAAAAGAGATGTCAAGTGCGCTTAAGAAACACATGATCAGGAGAGTCATACCAAAGCAGGCCACTAAAAAAATAAACATGCACCCCATAAATAACACCGGATGAAAATCAGTCAAAGCTGCAGAGAATTGTGATATGGTCACCGTGTCCCAGTCAGATGACGAAATTGTGTGACAAATGATAAGAGTTTGTAAATACCACCAACCTTTCCTACTCTTTCTTTTTTTAATTCATTAGCCCCCCGCCTAATAATATGGCGATTCACACAAACTTGAAGACAGTTGTTACGGAAAATGTTTCAAAGCTAAGTTCTTAACTCGCATTAATTGTTAATCGTGTAACGCATTCAGCGCCTATAGTCATCCGATTGATCTCTGTCTCCTTTCTTACCTTCATCGTCTATTCTTTTCCTTCCAGGAAAAGTATAGAATTCTTTACTCTCCACTGAATCATTAGGCTGGATTCCATTTCTTACTCTAACAGCATCTTTAACTCTCTGCAAGTTCGATCTCCAACATTCAGGATGCTGACACAAAGCACCACATGAACTTTCACTTTTCATGGCTATGTAATGAAACAGCCTTGTATACTGACGAATACAGTGTCAAGAGATAGACTGTGTTATTCTAATCGGCATTTTCTCCCACAAAAAGACCAAATCAACTACAGAACTATAAACCACAAACTCACTTACCACCATGCCTTTTGCTTACTTATGACGTCACAATAGTTCCTAGCAACCAGTCACCTCATGCGTGCGGGACGCAAGCATTCTTGTTATCTTGAGTTGCTTGCTCATTACTCCCTTATGGGTACCTTTTACACGTCATAATACAACGTAAAGAAAGTTTGAAATATTTTCTCTTTCATATACAAATAATTGATCATGAAACAAGATAGAGAAAGCATCTCTCATCGTTTACTGTACGGGTGCTGATACAGGCCCTCCCGCGACCACTCCTCTAATTAGTAACACTTTCGCCCAGACCTTGCGCACATACTGAAAATAAAACAATCGTACAGGCGTTGAATAACTCGAAGAAAGAAGAAATAATGGCTCTGTGTGGTGGAAACATATGTAAGGTTTAATGACTGCTCGCAGTACTTCGACCAGTATGCACGTGAATCCAGCAGCTCAGAACTACGAACGGGCTGTCAGTGGAGGAGACAAGAGAGGACTTCTTGAGGAAGGTAAGTTTTAAACAATTCAGTTGGCTGAACGATCATTCGATGTGGTACCCGAAATTGAAAAACAACTTATCTCTCTGTACATTTGTAGTTTAATTTAAATGCTTCGTAAATGTTTTACAGACAGGTTAGTATTTGATCAGAGCAAGCTAGGTTTTACTGGCAAATGCATGTAATGTGTTTTCTATTGAAAAGATAAAGCCATTTGAATGTAAATGTGGATTTCAGTAATTAGTGTGTTTGCAAATCAGTAATTGCGCTGAACATGCCACTTCCAAAGACAAAAACGTAGGTAGTTTGCATTATTGCCATTTTGCTCTTGGACTGGTGTTGGTTGTCTTGTTGTTGCGAGCTTGAAGAGCTGTAAGCCATGATCAGTTTGAACGAGGGATTTGATGTAAGCAGCTGCAGTATATTCAAGTTAATATACCGTTTATGGTACCTATATATATAAATTCTCCTCACTCTCTTGATTCTCTTACTTCAGTTCTCATGTTTTCCATGTGAGTGCTCTTAATGATTGGAAACATGTTTTCACACCCCTCAGTTTGTCCCTTAGGGCTAAAGAGGGCAAAGTGCCAAGGCTGAAGAGGAATAGGGATTATCGGTATTTTAAAATATTTGCCACTGTTCACAAGGAGGTTTAGTCTGGAATTAAACATTAAATGATATGAGTCAGTGAGTTACACCAGTAAAAGATTTATGTCCATGAAGAATACATTTTATATACATGAAAACATACATGAAAAAATTATGCCATCTGATTGGCTGAAAACGAGTGCATTTTTTATTTGACATGAGTGCAAAGTTGTAACATGGGTGCAAATTACAAACAGTGGGTGTACCCCATCAAAATTCTGTCTGTCTTGACTTTCTTTGCAATTTTTTTGTCTTTGAAAAGTTTACTTGCACCAATATTTCCACTAAATTGCAACTAAAATCTTGTTATTACTTTTATGAAATATGAATGTCACTGTGAGTTTCCAAATATATCCCATATCCAATACAAGTCTGGTTGATAGATCTGCTAAACAGAGAGTAGTGATTAGTAAACCATAGGCTTCAAAAAGAACTGTTCATCTGATTGCCAGCAGTTGACATTTACCTTTGCAGGCTGTCACCATGTACATATGTTAGGAGTTTTGAGACATGGATTTGTTATGTACTTTGTTACCATATGTTGACAACAAATAAATGTTACGAACAGGATGTTATGAAAGCTGTCAACAGATTTTGCTTCTCACAATATTTTAAGGGTAGAATTTTGACTTATTTCTCTCTTTGAAACTACAAGGGTAAGTTATAAGGTTGATTGATAAAAAGCCTCAAGTAACCTTGTGATTCTAGAATTACAATATTCAAGACAGTAGGAGGGTTTTGACTTTGATTTCAGTAGAATGACAATAAAAGTGTAGATCACCCAAATTTTAAACTGTTATTTATGGAGTATGTTGCCTATATAGCTACAAAAATTGACATAAAAAGAACTTTTACAATGTCATGTAACTACATATTCTTTAATTGAAGAATGAATAGCTTTTCACGGTTTTATTTGACATCAAGAAGCATTTGGCTGATAAAGTTTCCCAAAGAAAATTATATTGATACAAAGACGTGTAGTAAGGTGGCATTAGCAGAGAGAAACTCCATGGCTTTGCAGTACCCTTGTAGTGTAGCTACTTGTGTTAAACATTCCAAACAAATTTTCAAATCAGGAATTTTTAAAGCCTACGATTGTTATTTGCCGTTCCTTTAAGTACCTTCACAAATGATTGATAATCATTGCCTGGCAGCGAGCAGGTGAGTCTACTAAGTCACGTGACTTGGGTAATTCTTTTTGAAAGGGACAAGAAAGGTTGTTTCTTATTCCTTCATGGAGTTAAATCGAAAGGAAAATGCTGGATTTTCAGAGCCAGGTACGTAATTCTATTACAGAAAGGTTTTGCTAGAATTTTTTTTTTGGTCTTTCTTGAATAAAATGGTCGAAAGCAAAATAAGTTCGGCACAAGATGCTGTTCCGATCGTGTCGGGGAAAATGAAACGAAAACAGAGACATTTTTGGTATGGGATTAATATATTTTTTAAGCGTTTTGCTCCCCTGACGTTGATAACATATTCATAAACCTTTTTTGTTTTGGGAATAACTTTCTTGTATTAGTGAGTTTTTTTTTTCGTTAAAGAAACAACATCGCTTTAACTTCGTGTTTCAAAATACGTTTGATATTTATATTTACGCAAAGTTGTAACTTGATAAGTTTGCCCTGCAGGTGAACGAAAAATTAGAACTTTCCAGCTAAATTAATTGAATATCTCTTCCCGTAAACAGTTTTTGTTTTTCACTATGATATTTATCAAGTTCAAAGGAAAAAGTGTTTTCTGCAGAAATTTTTTTCGGACAAGATGTATTTGTGCCTTCAGGTCTTACTTTAAATATACACAGTTATGTTATTCTCTTTTTGAATTGTTAATGAATGTTCGAGGCAGAGTCGCTTATTCGCTGAAATCACAAATACATCATAATTTCGCATATATGTAGCTCCAGGCGTTTAGATGAGAATAATTACTAGATTACTGTCTCTGCGTGAGGATTACTTTCAGTATGCACATATGGAAGCCCACTCTGTTGAAGTCTCGGTAAGGTAACACGGCAAGTAGAAGTATCAGTTTCTTTTCATTTAATTCAACCCTTCGTTGGTTTATGCAGACAACGATACCTCGAAAATTCAATAATTTATTCGAAAATTCTACTTGATAGTTTTAAGTTATCAGGCCCTTTGAATTTTTAATGTAAACCACTTTTGGGTTAGAGACGAAGCTTCAAAATATGAAATTCGATGGAACGCAATCACGAATCAAAGTAGAAAAAAAAAACACGAAAGCAAATTCAATGAATTATCTGAGAAAGACGATCGAAACGATTTTGGACAACGTTTGCCTCTACGAGATGAGTAGAAAGGCATTGTTCAAATGTCTAAAAATGTCTGCTTGTCATTTTTTTAAGTAAAAAAATAAATAAATAAACAACTCTTGATGCATTTTATAGAGAAGCATCGGCTTCTTGACGTTTTATTATTTTCGAGATTTTGATGAAGTGTTGTTCCAGTGTACTTAAACATCATCTCCTGTCAGCATACAAGGTTATTGCTTCTGTATTTGTCCACGGATAGATCCTATAATTCGTAAACATTGTTCTTTATATTAAAGATAATTTGATAGATTATGCAATGGGTGCAGACATAATCAGGTGTGTGGGATGGAATTAACATTTATGATACGTAACTTCACATTTTGTTAAGCAAGTTTAACTCTCATTTATTTCTAGCAAATTCAATTTTTCACAGTGCTTGAAGAAATAGCCATGACTTAAGTAACATGTATTTGAAAAGAAAATGCAAAAATGTAACTCACGTTGCTTATTTTAGAAGAAATATGCATTATTCCTGTGTTGGCATTCTACATGCTTAATGTACCATTTATCAGTACCAGAAAGTTTTTTTTTTGCCAGCTGCCGCTGAGAAAAGAAGGGAAAGTTACTAGAAAGTTAAGGATGTGTTTTATATGGAATTAGATAGTTCCTATAACTGATTGCTTCAGTGAACAATCACTGTGATCTTTATACCAAAATCAGAAAAAAATGCAACAAAAAAAAATGATATGCTTGAAGGTGTCATAGTGCTTAACTTTTGACAAGAATGTTAAGGTGATGATTTTAAAAGTCAAAAAGAAGCAGCAAGGTTTACTTATATGTATTTTGGATGATTACATATTTTGGTATGACTGATATGTTCCCATATGTCATATATCGTTATATGCAAAGCATAGAACAAAACAAAACCTAGGCATGCTATGTATGCGAGAGCCTTTGTGTGTGTGTGTGTGTGTGTGTGTGTGTGAGAGAATGTGTAGGTGGTTTGGAAAGGGACACTAAGTAACTGATGTTTGCATTTTTGAAAAGGAGAAAGAGCATTTACCTTCAAACGATTCCAGTGAAAATATTGTTCAATAATGGCCAAAAAGTATCTATTCATCTGAAGTAAACTCAGACTTGGGTATTTTATGGTCTATTGCCACTGGTGTCTGAATAATTCTGAACAGAAATGAACTTCATTGTTGCCATGCTTCCTTACAGCTGTTATTGGATCTTGTCAAGCAATGTGCTCTCTTCCCCTATTGTGTGACAAGATCAAACAATGGCCTGCTCATAGACTAAGAACATGCTTACTGCCATTCCTTTGTTGGAGAAAAAAATCAAAATTATTTTGTTATAGCTAGTTGCCTCAAAAATGTTCTCCCAGATAATTTTGCAGTGGAAAGCAATAATTGATTGGTACTGAAAGATCTAAGCACAAGAGAATTGCATGGAGAATTGACTAAAGTAACATTTAGTTCCATGTGAAATTATTTCAGTGGGGAAGGATTAATTAAAAAATAACTTGAAAATCAGCAAAGAAGGGATTGTCCATAGTTAATGGGCATGTGAATATGTTTACAAAAATTGAATTCGTGTGTTGTCTGTTTCAGGTGGAAGTGGTGATGAGCATGGTAATGTCTGCATGTTAGACCTGTAGTTTCAGTTTCTTGTCTGGCAATCTGTCAGTAATGTATCACTCTCGATTCAACTTATATTGAATTATAAGCTTAAGCTAGATCAGTCAGGGAGATAAATTAATAGGAATAATTACAAATGCATGTTAGTCAATGATCTAACCATTCTGACCTTACAAATCAATTGATTCCACTTGGTTTGTTTGGATGTTATTAATATTATTTTGTTTAATTTTTGTATTTCACTGGCAGGTTCCTCTGAGGAGCGTGGCTTTTGTGATTATTTGCTGACATTTTTCTCCTCCTTAATATTTATCTGTACGCTGCCTTTATCACTGTGTTTCTGTATAAAGGTAATGACCTTCTTAGGTTACTGTTGACAAAATTAACTCAAAATTTTCAAGATATCGCTCTTTAGATAGAGAGAGCAGTTAAGTTTAATTTTAAAAAAAAATACAAAATCTTGAAAAAAAGGGCAATGCAACTGCAAAAAATATTTTAAGGGAACCATGGTTTCTTTAAAAGTAGCACAGGTTGGAGGATTTTTGCACAAGGCACCCTATTTTGTTGACAATAATCTTAATATTAATCCAACTCGTGTACTTTTTTGCATTAATTAGCTGTTGTAGGGAACCAATATGGTTATTTTTAATCAGTTCACAAAATCATATTACAAAGTCAGGAGAAATTTTAACAGATTTTCTTCTGGTGTAGTTTTCTTTTAAAGGTTTTACTGTCTTAATCTTTTTTTGAGTTCTGTCAGGGAGTTAATTGTATCATATGTAAACAATTTTTACATTTTCCTTTTCATTACAAATGGAAAGGACAACACATCTATTGCAAACTAGCTGTAATTTAAATTGCTCCATTATTGGAGTTATGAGAAATAAAAATGATTCTTTTAAAATTTATTAAAAAGGTTTTTTTTTTTATTTGTTGGCATTTAATATTCTTGATTTTGTCTTTACTGTCACATAGGTATAAAATTATAAACATCTATTATTTTATGTCAACAAACTTCTTAATCTGACTGAACAATTTTTTTCCTTTCCTTGTCATTAAGATTGTACAGGAATATGAGAGAGCAGTTATTTTCCGTCTTGGTCGACTTCTTCCTGGGGGAGCAAAAGGACCAGGTGAAAATTATGGACCTGTTTATACAATTACGAATTAGATATTATTGTTCACATTGAAAACTGTCATTTTTTCATGGCACTGCAATTGAAATTTTCCAATCATTTGCTATGATTTTGAAAATTACCTCCAATGTCAATTAAACCACAAAATGTTAGTGCAGTAAGATAATAGAAGAAACTTCTAAATGAATAAGAATAAATCAATATGAATTGAAGTTGGTAAGCAATAACTATAGGACTGAGTGGAATCCAATTCGGCTTGTAATCATTAAGTTATTGACAAAATAGGACAACTTCAAAGCGGGAGTCTGATTTGTCAATCATGGGTATGATTACAGACAGAATTGGACAATGTATAGTCCTGTTACCAATTAATCAAACGTAACCCTAAGCAAAAAACAGTAATTAACTTGGAAAATGCATGACAACAGCATGTGCACATAACCCATTCTGTCCACTTACACAGGCATGGCATGTTAACTATCCCTTTAACTGTCCTATTACACTGTCCAAATACAAGCATGACATGTACACTGTCCTATGCAGTGCTCAAATCAGGCTGTGATAACCAATCACATTCGAAAATTTTGTTATAGTTTTGATTAAGGATGACAAAAATTAATTTGGATTCTACTTGACAAATATTAGACCCCTAATTTAACTTCTCTTAATTGATAAAGACACAAGAAATACATTGTGAATAATAATGCTTGAAACAAAGCATCTGTAGGTTGTGAGATTGACCCTGGCAAACTGTTAATTTTTTAGGAATGTTCTTTATTCTGCCATGTATTGACTCCTACCAAAAGGTAGACCTGAGAGTCGTGTCATTTGATGTGCCACCTCAAGAGGTAAAGAACAACATAGTGAAGCAACCTTATTTTCTTGGGGACAGGTAATTTATATATTAGTTAAGAATGGTGGATCTGAAAGTGTGGTCTGAACTCCAGGTGACAGTAGATTTGAGGAAGACTTTTGTTGGTTATTTCAAGACAAATAATTCAGTAGTATGCGTATTTATGTTAACAAAAATTTTGGCAGGTTTTGACCAAAGACAGTGTTACTGTAGCAGTTGATGCAGTGGTATATTTCAGAATATACAATGCAACCATGTCCATCACCAATGTGGAAAATGCCAATCGTTCCACACGTCTGCTAGCTCAGACCACCCTGAGAAACGTGCTGGGAACCAAGAACCTCAGTGAGATATTAGGTGAAAGAGAAAGTATCAGTGAAACAATGCAGGCAAGTATGTCATATGTAACTTCATAGTAAAGCAAAACCATTGCAATTCCATACTATAACCAAGTCTGAGATGCTTTAGATCAACTCCTACTTTTTATCTCTGATTATGTTAGAAGTTTTCATTGGTTGGATGCATGTATTGTGTGATTAAGTGCATGACTAAGCAAGTTACAAAGAAGTAAGTAACCTCCCTTAGTATTCTTGATATCACCTTAGGGCTCAACCCTTCCATTTGTGTAGCTGATTTCGAATCAAACATTGCATTGTTGTTGTATTTAGATTTGAGGCACATTAGAAAGAAACTGGGAAAAAATTTTTTGTTGTTTTAATTTGTTAATTTGTTTATATTTTGTTGTTAATTTGGGTGAATGTACTGTTCCACAGACTTCTTTGGATGAAGCCACTGATCCATGGGGTGTCAAGGTTGAGCGAGTGGAAGTGTAAGAACATTCACAATCTTTTTATTGCTCTTAATGTTCTAGTTGCTGTTGTCCTTCTATTATCACATTTCTGTGTTGTCTTCACCAGTAATGGTGAAGTTTACAGTGATAATATTGTTAACAAAGTCTGCTAAACATCAATTTTTTGCATAAATGTCTGTTTTTTGATAACTTGTTAGTAACTGTTAATTGATTTTACAAGATTCTAAAATCTCATATGTCTCTTGTTGATATTTGTCCACAGGAAAGATGTGCGTCTTCCTCAACAACTGCAGAGAGCCATGGCAGCAGAGGCTGAAGCTTCTCGTGAAGCTCGTGCTAAGGTACTCAACCAAAGTTCACATTTAACAAAGTTATTGTATTGTTTCTTCTGATCAGTAACTTTGTATTTCTCTTCAACTAGAAAAAGTTACTAGAAGTTATTGTATTGTTTCATTACAGTACCAATTTCAAAAAAAACTATTCAGATTTTAGAAATGAAAAAAGAGAGAAGAGAATTCTCCAGAGAAAGCTTTCACAATGAGTTGTACTTTTCACATCAGGTCATTGCTGCAGAGGGTGAACAGAATGCATCTCGTGCACTGAAGGAAGCTGCTGACATAATTTCAGAGTCGCCTTCTGCTCTCCAACTCAGATACCTGCAGACACTGACAACCATCTCAGCAGAGAAGAATTCCACTGTTATTTTCCCTCTCCCTGTCAACTTTTTGGCTAGACTTCTTCCAAATGAGAACAAATGAGTAGATGAAAGAAGGAAGTGTTCATCCTTGACTGAAATTAGTGTTCTGTGATTATGAATGTTTGTTTCCAACACAAGATGTAGATATAGAAATAAATGGATGACACTGTGTATATAGCAGAAGAATCAACTAAAAATTTATTTATTGTTAGCCTTGCAACTTGTCTTACTATTTAAGGAGATATAGATTACGTATGTTAAGGAGCAGTAGCCACATTGTTTTTGATATTCCTTTCTATTAGTAGATATTCTCTAGTGCCATGCTTTGTTGTAAATGCTATAGACATATTCACTATGCTAACAGTTAGCTTTGGACAGTCTTTTTCTAGGAATAATAGTAACAACAATAAATAAGTTTTTTGAGCATGCGATTATTTCAACTTACCTAGGTTGCTATGCAACTCAAGGCTTTTTCTTGTTTTAGGTTAATTTTCCCCATTACTTTTCCCCATGGACTTATTATTCTAAGTTTTAGTCATAGCATCTGCATTTAAAATGGTGATTTGTGGCTAAATTAAAGACTGGAGTTGCATGGGTTTCAAGAGAGAGAAAAATGACAAGCTTTCAGGAGTAACTTGAATTTTTTATTGAGGTTTATTTTGGTTTGTTAGACTAATCTATAGCTCCATCAACTGAAATTAAGATTAAATTTAAAGTACTCATATCAAAGGTCAAGTTGCTGAATAAAGAGCACTCTTCTCACAGATAAGATGCAATGGTTTGTGGTCATGCATTGAAGATGAGTAAGGAACTGGAAGAGGTTCAGTTGTAGACATTTTTCATAACAGTGATGCTATACCAGCGTCTTACTAAATTATGGGAAAATGCACTCTTGTTTCATATTAATAAATTTTTGACCAATCAGATGATCACCGGCATCTAGTAAACCCTCTACTCTTTGGGTGGAAAATAACGTGATAAATAACTAACGCATAACTTTCTTGCTTCATGGCCTCAAAAATCTAAAAGTGATTTCTTTATCGTGGGTCTTAGCTGTCAAAAGGAAAGAATTTGGACGTATTATTTCCATTCTGCAAAAGTCACACTAAATATGTTACAAGGAAATTTTTTGGCTTAGTTTGAGAAACCGCACTAGATATTGTCAAACAGAGGACCGGTTCATGGTACTTTTTCTTTTTTCCCTTTTAGTTTTTGATGAATACAGTCTTGCATACTTAATAACCACGATAAAATTGATGTGTACCTTTTAATAACCCCTGCAAGGTAATAACTACGAACTAGCTAACAATGGTAAGCGACTGATGATCACGGAACAGAAACATCATGATCCGCAGCTAAGTTTTATAGCCATCGCAAACGGGCTTATAACTTTAATTGAGCTGCATTAGGATTTGTGTTTATTTGTGGCTTCGCCGGGCCAGGATTATTGTCGGGAACTGATTAGAAACTACCCTTTCCGTTGGCCTGGCGGCAAAGGCAGGTGTGTGACAAAAGACAACTTAGCCTCTCCTGGAAAGGATCCCAGCACTATACTTCCTTATTAGGTAATGGATAAACCTTGATGCATGCACTCCCTCGATTGCTTGTTGCTCGCCTTCTCCATACTCTCTGAAATATCTGAAATCTGGCAAACGCTAAAGAAACTTCAACGGCGCTAATGGCGTCTGAAGGTGAGTCATTAACGGTGTCTAAAGGGATAAACGGGGGTAACTTGCCTGCTTACGACCAAGATGTACCTTAAAGGTGCGCGATGGTTATTTCGCTCCCCGCACTCGTTTCTTATTTACCCATCCTCATCGCGGTGATGTTGTGAAAATTATAACAAAGAAGTTATGTTTATTAGAGTTTTAGCAAACAATTAACGTTGAATGTAAAAGTGAACGTTAAGTTATTTTTAAAAGCTTCTGTCTAACTTTGCAAGATTGTCAAACGGTAAACATGGGTGCTGTATTTATATCGATAAGTCTTGTCGACGTCATTCGATTTTTCTGGTAACAAATTTTCACTTTACGCGTTTTCAGCTCTGGTGTCGATTCTTTACCTTTAATCATCGAACACTGATTTAATCAGTTACGTGCTTCTGTAAAGATAGCTTTTTAGGATCAACCGATTCAAACTTCTTATCTGACTTACCAAGCGATGGAAGCCGAGAAAAATTCTGGGCTAGGAAGCCATTCACTCTCAAAACAATTCATGTTAACGGAACGTTTAACAGAACGTTTAACGGGACGTGAGCCTCGAAAAATATATTTTTTTTTATTGATCCATTACAGTTCAAACGTGTGTATTTTCTAATACACACATTTGTAAAGCTCTCAAGTTTTGTTTCGACTGCAGAGTCACATTTAGGTATGCTCATCGGAACGGTATAGTGGTTGTTTACGAGCTTGCACAGTGCACCCAGATTTCTTAGTTTTACATTCATAAATTCCTTACCAAACCTTATTACATCATTTTCTGTCAGAGAAGGTGTCTCGAAAACAGAAATGGTCTTTCTTTGTTAATTTCAGGGAAGATTCATCTGAATTCCCTACATTAGTCAGTAACTTCCCTGCTTAATTATTTATGAAGTAAAATCACCTTCAGGATGTTTTTCATGTAAAGAGTTCTTTGGTCAATCAAGGTTGTTGATCAGTTGTTTCAAACTGTAAATTCGTGGAGAACCTAGGCATTACAAAGGTAGTGACGCCATTAGTGAACAGAAGGTGGCCATCATTCACACCTCTTGCTGAATTAGTAATTCCAGAAAATATCTTAATGGTTTTTAATGAATATTTAGCTTCAGCCATAGTGCCTGAATGTCTGTAAATCAACATAGCGCCCTAACCATATTCTGTATTCATTAAATTTTTGATGATAATGGTGTGCTACAGTGAAAAGCTAATGAGAACAGTCATTCATTCTGATAATACAACTTCATCTTTTTTTCTCTTAGTGGGACGAGACCATTAGTGATTAATCAAATTCTGTGGCTTTGTATTATTGGTTATAGTTTAAATTCTTCTTTGCCGAAATACTTTCCTCCTAATCAGTCTAGCAATAAAAATTTGAACTGCAAGCTTGGTAGGGGTGTTTAGATATTTCAATGCATTAAATGTGAACAAGCTGTCAAATAACAAAAAATTAATATAGGTATTGCTTGCATGTCTTTACTTTTTGACTTGACGTAGCTTAAGTTTCCTGTATGAATCTTTTTTTTCAGAGGATTCAGGTGACCGTGGTTGCTGTGACTATTTACTCACAGGCTTGTCTATCATCCTGTTTGTGTGTACTTTGCCATTATCTTTATTCTTTTGTTTAAAGGTAAGTTCACTAGAGGTAGTTTTCTATTGTAAGCCCCTTTTTTAAAGATTTTATTTAGATGACAACTTAGTTACAAGTTTCATGAAATGAAAAAGTTGATTAGATTTTTTTTCTTTTGTGGACACAAAAACAGATTGTACAAGAATATGAGAGAGCAGTGATCTTCCGCCTTGGTCGTCTGCTGCCTGGAGGAGCCAAAGGACCAGGTAAATAACAATTAATGGCTGGAACATAGCTTGGTATACAAAACTACTTGTATATGATCTTAACCTTGTATCAGCAAAGTGATACTTTTTGGAAATGTCTTTTCCTTTATCAGTGGTCTGATTTAGCTATATTCCAAACATTTGGAACCTTTGTATACTTGATAATTTTTTATTTATAATTTTCAGAGCATTTTATAGTAATTTTTTATGGCATTATTTTAGGTCTCTTCTTTATTCTGCCTTGTATTGACTCCTATCAGAAAGTTGACCTAAGGACAGTGTCCTTTGATGTTCCACCACAAGAGGTAACCACAGTTGTGGTAAAGATAGTAAAAGAATCAAGTGCTTATGCAGTCTTCCTTAATAGTAATTTTCTCTACAATCATGACAAAAAAAGTTTATGTTTATATTTGCCTGGTGGTTTGGTAAATTCTTGTTTACAGCATTTGCAGGAGAGATGATGATTTTTGGAAATGTTCATTGAAACATTTTTGTAAATTTTAGTAAAATGATTTAGTTGCTGATAGTGATGTAACCTTTGGCTAACAAACCTGAGTGCTTGAGAGAATTAGTGAGGCACAGCTGAAAAAAATTCAGGCTCAAATGATTTTATTTTGCTTTTGTTTCATGGACATTGTTAAATTGATGTGAAATAAAATCTAAACTTAAGCCTACAAGATGAAAAATGCTGGGTATAATAAGTAAGTTTTGGATGAGGTTGAGCATGATTTCATGAGTTATAGATGCCAAGGTGTGAGTTACCTGCCAAAGCTGAAGGCTGAGGCAGATAACACAGACACAAGGTTTGATAATTCATAATATCATGCAAAAACAAATTCAATAGTTGTTTTGTTATTGTAATAGATTAGGATCCTTCCAGACCCCTTGCATTCAGAGACTGTAAGCACATGCAGTTGACTTTAACAAGTAGCGAGCACATGATTGGTGTTGTGAGCTCCAGATATTACAATAGCTGGCAAGGAGGATGGCAAGCAGCGTTGCATGACCAAATTTTTTGTGGGCTAAGAAATTTGTACCAAATATTATATAAATGTTGTTAAACAGTCTGCTAAAGAAGACACTTCTTTCTGAGTTTGCAAAACTTTGAGAGCACTACACAGACGAGGAGCTTGGAAACTAGGCAAATTTTAAACTCGACATTACAACCCATTATCTGGTGTAGATATTGGGTTATCACATTAACTTCACACTCTATTGTAGATTGACTGTTTGCTCTTGACCAATTGGAGTTTCATAGGAAGTCTAATGTATAATGATGTCATTTATAATGTGTTCCCTTTGGTTGGATTTTTTTCTGTAGGACATATGTGGTACTTAGTGTATTTTTTAGCCACTTCCAATCTGATCAGCTGGTTGTGCCTTTGATTTATTATAGATTTTGACAAAAGACAGTGTTACTGTTGCTGTTGACGCTGTGGTATATTTTAGAATCCATGATGCAACTATGTCCATCACCAATGTGGAAAATTCCAATCGTTCCACACGTCTGCTAGCTCAGACCACCCTTAGAAATGTGCTGGGAACCAAGAATCTCAGTGAGATATTGGCTGACAGGGAAGTTATTAGTCATGTCATGCAGGTGATAACAGAATCTGAGTCTGGATCATTGCTGTATGTTTTAATTAAGAATTTTTAAGCTGTAACAGGTTGAGAAATCAATGGCAAGCAAATTGCTGACTTCATTGGAAGATTCCAATAATTTTTTTTCTGCCAAACCTAAGTTTGACACAATGGTTATATTAGCCATTCTTGAATGCATTTTAAAGGCAAGAATCACCCTTAACAGTCAAACAAGTTGAAGCTAATATTTTGATACAGGCTGTGTAATGTGTGGAACTATTTGTCTTGTTTACATAAACAGTGGAAATAAGTCATTTGTGATCTTTCATGAAATAATGATCAAACCCTTGATAACTCGAGTAACTTAAATGTTGTGCATGAAGGAAAGTTGTGTGGATCATATCTTGTGTTTTCTTTTCATTAGAGCTCACTTGATGAAGCAACTGATCCTTGGGGTGTTAAAGTGGAACGTGTGGAAGTGTAAGTTAAAGCTTTATCCAGCTTTTTAAATTGGTTCCTAGTTTTAACTTGAAGCTGTACATGAAAATGCCCCTCCCCCCCTTAAAAAAAAGAAAATAAATGAATAAAAATGACTGACATAACATGTACCTTACAGGAAGGATGTACGTCTTCCTCAGCAACTACAGAGAGCCATGGCAGCAGAGGCTGAGGCTTCTCGTGAAGCTCGTGCCAAGGTATGAAATTTTTTCATTAGTAAGAAATCTCAGTTTTGTGGTAGGTCATCAGTGTTACAGTTTATTAGTTATATGTAAGAGCTGCCTTTTTTAAGTTTACATAGGCTCCCTTTGATTACAAAGGAAGCTGATGTGAAGTAGTCATTCTAGATTTATAGATATGGTTCTAATTTCAAGCTTTTGTATTATAACTCGTAACTTGGATTATAAAATTGAGTGATCTGTATATTCAGGTTATTGGTGTTTAGTTAAGAGGTGATACTGAACTTAAATGACTTTGAATATCAGAAATTAAATAAAATAAAAACAAAGATACTTCAATAGATGAAGCTGTAAAATTAGAAAAAATATCATTTGGTGAGGTGTTCTTTTCATTTCAGGTTATTGCTGCTGAGGGTGAACAGAATGCATCTCGTGCACTGAAGGAAGCTGCTGACATCATCTCAGAGTCTCCTTCTGCTCTTCAGCTGCGATACCTACAGACATTGACAACAATCTCAGCTGAGAAGAATTCCACAATCCTATTTCCTCTCCCTGTTGATTTCATGAGCAGATTCTTACCAGACAAGAAAGGTTAATGAAATCAAGAGAACAAAGAATGAGAAAAAACTTGCATCATTGCAAGATAGTTGATTATTCAAAATAGATATCAGTGCTTTTTATCATAAAGGAACATTAAGATTCAGAGCTTGAGATTAACAAGAACAAATCATGTAGTAGTGATAATTTCACATTATATGGCAGCCAGATTTTTTTAAATTTCTTCTGTTGTACATATTTGTGAAAGAAACAATTCTTTATCAGTATAACAGAAATGCAAATGGAGCCAAAAAAAAAAAAAAACATGTTTCCAGTTGATCATGATTGATGCAGTGCCTTTTATGGTAAGCCAGCTACTTCTCTTGTGTACTTGCAAACTGGGCAAAGCCTGTGACAACCCCATCATAGGACAGACTGGACTGTGGATTCTTTTACTGATGAAACAGAAATAAAATGATAGATGCTTTCAAAGATATTTCATTTATTTAGTTTATTCCTTCCACATGATTGCAGTTTTAGTGTCTATGAGCTCTATTCAAATCTAGTTTAGTGGGATGAAAAGTGCAGATCCCCACCAAAAATTAAGTGACCATGATAGCCATTCTAACTTGTTAATTAGTAGTGCTTGCCAACATCTGAGCAATTTAGGAGTTAGTCTTGAGCTCTGAATGCATATTTCAGTTTATATGAGTAATATTTCTGCATTAGACATAAGCTTATTTACTCAGGGTTAACAATGTATGTTGAATAAATGTACTTCTCAACTTTTTCTTTAGAAATGTGTAATGGTCAAAAATTGATTGATGTTGGAACATCTCGATAACAGACATGCTAGAAACAGTCCTATGGCAAGGGTCATGCAATATACAATTATAGCATTTTTATCTAATCAATTCTGATGGGCTTACAGTTCCTATTGATTTAGTAAATAGAAAATATTATGAAATGTAATCATTAGGATAATTCTGATCAGAGGACTCTAAGAGTCTGTACTAGTTTGTTTTCAAGTAGAAAAAAGTTGTGTTACTTTCTTTTTTTAAAGTTAATGTTATGTGGTTATGTTGTTAGCATTGAGAATATGTAACATGTTAAAAGTGGTGAGCTGTAATTTTTTGGGGGGGCTGGTTCATAGACTGGCCTAAACATCTATTGTAGACATGCTGTGTTGCATAATAGCATAATAAACATATAAAGAATCATGCCATGTTATGGTTGTCCCAATTCATTTTCACCAGGAAGTTCAATCTCTTCTCCTTGGTTTAAGTACAATGCTGTTAATTGCTTGTGTTATCCTACAATGTGGAGACAATCAATGAAGCCAAGAATTGACTCTTTATTAAAAAAGATATCATTATTTACACTCCAAGTTGCAGCTAGCAGTCTTCAAACAGACAGTGTGAATACATAGTTTGTTCTTTATTTCTGCCTTGCACAAACCTATTGTGGTCTAGTTTGAGTCTCAAGAAAGAAATCAGTTGACAAATGCCAAAGTCCAATAGAAATTTGATCCAGGCCTTTGTTCCACACATGTACAACAGAGTCTCATAGCTGTTAATCCTTAATATGATTTACATCATTCCTCTTTCAAGATTCAGATTAATTTGAGTAAAAGGGAAAATTCCTATTCTGTTTAAATGATATTTTACTTATTCTGTTTAAATTTTTGCCAGACCAAAACATGAATAAGGGAAAAAAACTTGTGGATCCATTAAAAAGTAGCAAATTTTGAACTGAAAACTGTTTGAAGTATGACAAGATAATAGTATTGATGTAAGGGTTCTGTGTTCAACTCATGATTTAATGAGGAAATTCTTCTTAATGAATTACAGCCTAAAATTAGGGGGGAAAAATGCAGAGGCACTTGTAAAACTGTACATTACCTATAATTTTGTTTGGGCAAAAGAACACATTTGGGTTGGTTGTATGATGATAACAAAATAAGAAACCCTACTTTTAATTAAAATGAAATTGATGGATTAATTTTGGCGTGTGGGTATGTTGAGTTACTGTGTTAAAATTTTAATTTATGTATTTGTGTTTAGGTCGTGCAGTTCGCTTAGTGTCACCTGCGCACGTTTTACTGGGGGTAAAAGTGAAAGATGTTTTTCAGGATTACCAACTGAGATTTCCTCATCAAAGAAACAAAAATAGCTTTGTAACTTTTGTATTGCCAAAATTATAAATATTTTAGATATATCCATGACAACTAAAAAATAGAGAAATTGATATTTTGACACCTTTGGATATGATTGGTTGTCCCTCGGGAGGAGTATATATCACGTGATGTAGCTGGGTTGAAGTCTGAGTTGTTTGCAATCGCAGCTTGCCTTGTATTGCCTTCTACGACTACAAATTCCCTGAAAATGGCCTCGGAAGGTAAGAATTAAAATCCTCTTTAAGGTTAAAAGAAATGAGAAAATTAAATTTCATGTCAGTGGAATTTCAGCGCCAATTTTTAGACTTCATGGGGGGAAAAAAATGGATTAAGATCGTTAAAGCGACCCGAAAATTCCGTTTTTAGCTAACTCTGAGGCAAAAGTTAATCGTTTCTTCAACATATACCATTTAAGTTTTTTGTTGCACAAAGTTCTGGGATTATCTGCTCGAATCATCATGTCGTTTCAAGAAAATTTGATCAAATCTTACGTTGAAAAACCATCTCACTTCAACATAACAGAACACCAGAAGTGAATGATGCTGCTGTTACTTGCAAATTAATTAACATTACCCGATCCTAACTCGCTCGATGATTTATGTGCGGTCAAACATGCGTTTCTTGAAATATCACCTCATTTCCTTCCCTGCGTTTGTGCCGAAAATGGTTAAAAGAGGAACCATCATTACTGTGGGGTCGTTAAGTGCTAAACATGGATCATGTAGGAAATTGCTGCAACAAATGAAATCTGCAGAATCGTTTAATTATGGTGCGCATTAAATACGTTGCTTCAACATGAGCATGTTAGGTTTGTATATGACAGTAGTTGTGAAACTGAAGATGGTGGTGATGATATCAGACGCGGTGCAAATGAAGTTTTCAAATCGCTTGAACTTTTATAATAGTTTGAATAGTTTTCTCTGACCTCATCCATCTAAAGTGGCTTCAGGTTGCATAATATTTGGGTTCATTCGTTTGTGTACATTGTGTTGTTATGAAAATCAAAGCTACAAGCCATCTTCCACAGATAGTTTGTACTGTTATTAGGTAAGAACCTTCCTTGGCAAGATAAAAAATATATTCAGAGTAGCTGTGTACGTGTAGTATATCATTGTATTGTTTAGGATTGATGAATATTTTAACAATTTAACAATTGTATCTTTTGCAATTGTAATGGAGTGTTTATTAGTAAAGTCACTTCCATTGTTGACTATGACCTTTCCACTGAGTTGCCTCTATTCCTATGCAAGCAATGGTATCTACTGGTCAAGTGTTTCATTATGAAGTCTGTTCTGCTGTGTAGTTGTTTTACAGCCTTGTGTAGGGCATTTTCCTTATATGATCTCTTAGTGGTTTGCTGTTGTATTTTGTCTTGAATTTGTCAATTTCAATTTTTTTTAATTCATTTGTTATGTATCCTGGAAAAATTAAAATCAGAGCTGGTGAACTGGTAAATGTTTTTGTTGATTGTTTTTTTTTTGCTTGGTTTTTTTTATAGATGATGATGTTTCAAGAGGGTTTTGTGACTATGTTCTGACAGTTTTGTCTTTCCTTATCTTTATTTGTACTCTGCCTTTCTCATTGTGTTTTACTTTGAAGGTAAGCAAATTGGTGAATGTAGATCATGAGTGCTCTGGTATGTGCCTCTTGAACTTAGCCTTATATGTTTTCATCATACTTGATATAAATGTAATTAAGACAACTTTCAGTGAGAAATATGCATAAACTTATGATAATAAGGGATGGTTTTGTATACAGATTGTGCAGGAATATGAGAGAGCAGTTATGTTCCGTCTTGGTCGATTACTTCCTGGAGGAGCTAAAGGGCCAGGTATAATGCAACACTAAAACAAGAATAACTTGAATTAAAAAGCTTTGCCTTAGAGGAATAGGAAGTAAATCTTAGACCATAATATATGTAATAATAGAAAATTGGTATCATATCTGATTAGAGTTTTTATAGATCCTTATCTTGTTCTTGATTGATGGTGGAACAATACTGGTACTGAATTAAAATGAATATGAATATGAACATGAAAGCCGGTAGTGTGGGCTTTATATTCTCTACTACCTAGGAAGTGATCATTACTGTGAAGATTGCTTTCATATTCATTACATAATCAGCAGTTCACATGCATGATTTTGGTTTATTCACAGTTATTAATATCGGTACAGTTTTAAAGTAATAGGTTGTATATGGAAGCTAACCATAAGAAATGAATAGTGATTGTCACTTGCAACTATTCTGATTTGGGTTGGCATGAATGATCAGACCACATCATCAATTCCAGTTTTAAATAAACAATAGACTTTGTTTTGTGTATCATATATTGTTATATCCTCTGATCATTTCTTACTATTATTTTTGTGCAGGGTTATTCTTTATTCTGCCCTGTATTGACTCTTATCAGAAGGTGGATTTGAGGACAGTGTCATTTGATGTCCCACCTCAGGAGGTATTGACAGTTCTATCTAGGTTGTATGATTTGTTGTTTGAAGAAAGGGTTTCTAGTGTGAGTGCTGTTAGTTTTGATAATAACCAAGTATCAACATTGGCTTTCAGATTCTGACCAAAGACAGTGTGACCGTTGCAGTGGATGCAGTTGTTTACTTCCGCATCAGTGACCCAACCATGTCAGTCACTAATGTGGAAAAGGCTGATCAGTCAACTCGTCTGCTTGCACAGACAACACTGCGAAATTTCCTTGGCACCAAAAATCTCAGTGAAATTTTGGCAGACCGTGAAGAGATCAGCCATGCTATGCAGGTACAGACATAATTTTGGAATCATTAATTTATGTCTCTTGGAAATAAGTGGACTGGGATTTATTTGTTTGTTACACTTTGTAGACTTCTCTTGATAGTGCCACAGATCCTTGGGGTGTAAAAGTGGAACGTGTTGAAGTGTAAGTACTTTAATTTGTAATTCTTGCACTCTAAAATTTCCGAGCATAGAGCTTTGAGTGCGTAGTATAGATTGTTATCTTGAAGAATACTGAATCACCATCCAAGTGGGAAGAAAAAGCGCTACTCTCCATCTGGGAGCTATGAGAGTCAATTTTGTGTACAGATTTAAAACAGGGGATATACTTCTTATTACATGTGAACTGGTTAGTCTTTCTGAAAGAACTTTCTGTCTGCTATTAGTGATGATGTAATAGAAGATTCGGAAATAAATTATTAATATAAAAAAAAAATATATATATTTTTTTTTTTACATGAAACTATGACTCTTTGAAGCCATCTTGATTTCTCTTTGTTCACAGTTTTGATTAAGTGTGGAAAAGTATCAATGCATGTTTTACATGAGTTTGGTGAATTTGACTGAGTGTGAAGTCTGGGTCTTTGGTTATGCAAATTACCTCCTGTAATTCTTGAGAACAGAAATTATTTTTGCTAGCAACTTTCATCAGAACATCCTTAGTAGCAATATGTACTCATTTAACCTTGTAGGAAAGATGTGCGTCTTCCTCAACAGCTGCAGAGAGCCATGGCAGCAGAGGCTGAAGCTACTCGTGATGCTCGTGCAAAGGTAGATATCAGCTAACTTGTCGAGGACGGTGCCAAATTCTGAAAGGCTTGTTTCAGTATGATATGTCAATCAAACAATGAGATTATATTTTAAAAGAAAGAAAAGGCTTTTACCAAGGAAATTATATTATTGACCATTGTTTGATTTCAGGTCATTGCTGCTGAAGGTGAACAAAATGCATCTCGTGCACTGAAGGAAGCTGCTGACATCATTTCAGAGTCACCCTCTGCTCTTCAGCTGCGATACCTGCAGACATTGACATCCATCTCAGCTGAGAAGAATTCCACTATTATTTTCCCACTCCCCGTTGACTTTCTGAGCAGATTTTTGCCAGATGAAAAGAAATGACTAGGCAGCCAAAAACAAGAAATTGGAGAACGCTCTTCTGAATCACCATTGACTGAAGTTAGTGTTCTGTAAACAAAACTTGTTCTGTGAACATTTCGAAAATAGTTTACACAGTGTTGTATATAATCCTGCTTTACCTCAGCAAGCAGTTATTTATAATTTTGATCAATA